AAGCCAGCAGACTTGCTTATACAAACAAATGTTTAGAAATCATCTGCTGTTATAGCCAGCAGTAGCTGTTAGTTTGTTATCCTATTTCATTGGTACCTCCACACAAGGGTAAAATGAGGTATGTGAGGAAAAAAGAGAAGAGATGTCTGTCACTGGTCAGCTGCAGATGTTGTTTTCCTGGCTCTGCTGTGTCAGAGGGTAGAATATCCTAACAGCTTTTTCCTTCAGGCTTGAACTGTTTCCTTTCCTGCAGGCCTGACCCAGGTTAGCAGCTTTTGTTTTTGTAGCATCTCAGTGTGTAGCCCTAGCAATCTTTGCCCTCTGATTGATCAAGGAAATAACAGCCTTATCAGAAAGTTTATTTAAATATTTATTCATCCTTATCTCTTCCTCCGCTCAGGAAACATTTATATTGCATGATTACATATTTTGCCTAATGAACATTTTAGACTTTTAGACTAAAGTAGACCTTTCTCACCCTTCTGGTTAAATCATTTTGGAAGGGAGTGGATCCAACTATGTGGGAGTTTTCGTCTGAGGGACAAAAGTTATTGTAGCTCAGAGTGAGTAATGAAGTCAAGCTTTAAAGCTGTTGTTATTTTTTTCTGTGCGACAAACTGGAGCCTTTGCTCTCTGGGGGAAGTCTGGGGAAGGCAAGCTAGTGGCTCTTTCTCTTTAGCCCCAGCTGGATGGCTCTCAGATTATCCATGGGTCATTAAAATGTATTAAAAAGCATTAAATCAATTTTGCGAAAATGAAAGTGTTAAATGGCATTTAAGCTTGAGTGTCTGAAACGTTTTCATTTTTATATTAGTAATTTAACTGAAATATGTCTCTTTATTTTGTGGAATCTTAGAACTCTGTGGTCGCTTGCAAAAAACATCTTAAGTGAATTTTGACCCTTTTTTCCCTTTATTTTATATGAGATTTGTAAAATCTCATTTAAAATAATGCAAGTGCCCACTGATCTTTTTTATTTGTTTTAGCCGAAGTTCCCATCAAGACTGTCTGCTTTGTAAATGTAGGTATTCCATAGCCTGGATGGGGTACCAACTGGCTCAAATCAGCATTAAAACAGTCTCAAATTGGCCATTAAAATGTCTTAAAAGGCATCAGTTTTAATTTGCTGATACCTGCAGGTATGCTGCCTCTTTCTCCAGGCACAGAGGGTGGAATTACCCACCCTGGCTTTGGTTCTGTCTGAGTAAGTAAGCTGTACATGGCTGAAAGACTGTGGTCAGCATGGCTAGTCATAGGTGCTCTTCAGGGGCTCATTATGGCTATTACTTGTGGAGTGGCCATGTTGGAGTTCTTTATGAAGTGTTAGAAGCTTGGCTTGCATGGTTTCCTGCTGCCGCTCCCATGGGTTTAAAATAAACCTTGATTTCCTTCCTCAGGCCAGCAATGCGTCTGTTTCCGAGGAACTGCCCATCTCTGTTGAACGACTCACTAGAGCTCTGACCAGCTAAACTGACGAAACGAATAAAAAAGAAAACTCAGAGTGGCAAATGCTGACTCACTGCTCCACTGATACTTCCAGTCGTTCTGGCACTTCAAATTAGCATAATTGCTATGATGTGCCTCTTAAGCAGTTTCTGGTGAAAGCCTTCTTCTTGTCTCTGTTGAAACAAACAGTGAGAAGAGCTCTCGTACATTAGCATGCCTTGAACGGAACCTACAGTTGTGTCCAAGTTCCTCTTGGCTGCTTCAGCAGTGGTGCGGAGTGAAGACATTTGAGGCCGTGGCATTGGAAGTGGCAGAGTCACAGTTGAGGCTTTGTGCCACAGACAAGAGGGAGAACAGAAAAGAGTGGTGGAGTGATTATTTGACAAATAGTGGCTGTAGAAATCCAAATCTCTGAGGGGGAAAAAAACTATCTGTCGACTATTTCAAAGCGTGACTATTATAATAGTGGATTGTTATAAATGAGTCAGTGTTAAAAGTCTCTCATTTTAAAATATTCTTGTATTCATATCAAATATCTAGGCTTATATATGTATTTCTGGGCTGGGCTTGCCTGGGCTTGTACAAGGTTTATCTAGAGTGGGATATCTGTGTTCTGGCAGAGAACTGCACTTGTCTAAATTTGTCACTGTTCACTGTTCCTTACCCTAACTACAGATACACCACCATTACTTATGGTTCTATGTTAGCAAACGTTGGGTAACAATGGATTACTCCACATGATAAATAGTTTTTAGACTATGAATATGGCAAAAAGCTCACTTCACTGTTACTGTACCTTTCTGTACATATTACTTCATTACTATTGGTTCTGTGTTAGTAGTCGTTTGTGAGTAATGGCTTATACCAGATAAGAAGTGACTATGAGGCTAAGAATATGAATGTGAAAAGCTTCATATTTCTTGTTTTTTTATTTTTCCCCCTGAAATCCACTTGCTGAGTGTAGTGCAGTTAGTAGATCATCTGTGCATGATAATTTTCCATCTTCTTTTATCCTTTTGAATTACATTGGCTGGTTTGTTGCTCTGCTTTTAAGACTGGTATATGCAAATGACCTCTTTTGTCATTGGCTGCTCTGTATTGTGCCTAATTCAAAGAGCAGTCGGGACTGAAACACTCCTTATAACTTCGTTGTGAACTGGTGGGGCTAAGTAGGCGGTAGCTGTTCGCTAAATGGGTGGGTGTATGTGAATGTGTTGGTTTTCTTGACATCACAAAAACAAAATAGAAGGTTTCTGCAGCTTAGTTTCTGTACGTGGTATGTTTTGAAACGTTAATAATGTTTCATTCATTTTCTATGTGAAGAGCCCTTTAATAGTAGATGTGCGCAATGTATCATTTGTGAAATGTTATTGCAGTGGAGGCTTTTGCAGTACTGATATTGCCAATGGCTGCAAATTTCAGCCCACAATGTTTTTAATGTGCACTGTGAGTATCCTGACCTATCGCAGTGAAAGATGAGTTTCTGTGGGTGTTTGGATGAATCAAGGTATTTATTTAGTTAAACAAAAATAGATTTCAGTCAAAATAATACATTCTGATCTTCAGCGTCTCATTATTGATTTGCAAGTGCATTTTTAGTGAATTGTGTGTCAACGTCACAATATGTACCAACATAATCATGATACTATTATTTCGTCCATATTGTGCAGCTCTAATTAATGAGGTTCTGAGTGTACAGTTACTGTAGGCCTAGCTTGATTATCATTGTCAGTTTAAGATCTCTAGGGCTTTCATTGTCGCTGCCATGTTGTGGGCAGGGCTATTCTGTCTGAGTTTGGTCCCTACCCTGGCTGAACTCTGAAGGAGTATTGTTTCTGGAGTCACTGTGAGAGTTTGGGTGGAGATGTAGGAAGCTTTGAGATGGCTCCAGAGACAAGCCACTGATTAAATACAGAATGAAGCAGGCCTGGACCTCAGTGATAGTTTATCTAGACTGGAAAAGACTGGTCACACTCAGTGGCAATAAGACTGCTGAGCCATCAATCTCAGTATTCAACAATTAAGGAAGAGATTTTGCAGGGGTGGTGTCCAGGATGTTCCTTAGTCAATCTGAATAGGTTTGCACTGCCTTCCTGAGCTCCTCTTGAGCTATTGTTTCCAGGGTGGAATCCGTAAACCCACCACGCTCTCCAGCAACTTTTCCCCAGAGGAAGAGGGTGAAGGAAAAGCCACAGAGAGTGCTTACTTAGCAACTTAGTCTGTATTGGAGAGTCGTCAAGCAGTTTACAGTTGTTTACACCTAGGATTTGAGGGGGAAGTTCTCGTATTTTAATCTGTCATTGTTAAGAATGTGCTTTGGAAACATCTGACTCTCATAACTCTCGTTTATATAAACATATTTTGTAGGTCTGCATCACAAACCAAGTCAGAAGTGTGGTCTTAGTAGCCTTTTGGGAGGTTTTCTAAGTGATGAGGGTTTCTAAATAACTTATTATAGCAATAAGGGCGGATTTTTCCCCTCCTTTGAATCTAAGTGATGGGACGAGGAAATTATAGATGAAAGGATAGAGAGGGAAGTACAGTAGATGTGTATCTTGCTTAATGTCCTGGCAAACTCTGGGTCCTTATGAAACACTTTGATGTTGAGCAGTCCCTGTTTGTCCCTGCTAGCTTTTCTTCAGTTACAGCATCAGAAAAGCTTGTAATAAAATAAAAATAACAATGATAATAAAAAAATGTAATATCACTGTACTTTTGACAGTACACAACGTCTCAATAATTATTTTTTTTGACATTATTATTTTTCTGACATTTGATATGTTCAAACAGGCACAAGAGAGCCAGTAGTGCCACATATAAAGATGCTTTTGTATTTTTGAGATATTGTGCAGCCCTAAATTCTCTCTCTTTGCTCTCGTTGTAGTAAAACATGCTGTAAAAGTACTGATATTATCCACAAAACACTTGAAAAAGCATCTTGTCACATAATTTATCATGATGACAATAAATATTGTCAGATTGCCCAGCTCTAGAAGGGCTTATGATGCATTGAACAATGCATAATTTGAAACTTAGTAAGTGCATTCTTAATAAGAATTATGAGTTATTTGTAGGGGTGGTGAATATATGTTTTTATAATGATAAGATATGTCAGGACACATTTTTGTAATTACATTAGTTTCAGTTACTTCAAAAGTGCTGAATAACACTAAGATTTACACCAATTATAGAGAGCCTGTAAACAACAGACAGTGTATAGTAACTGCATAAACTTAATTTAATAAACCGCTAATTGGATGCCAGCCCATTGTGCCATGATCATATTTCTTTTTGCTGCCAACTATTAGATTTTTTTCTCCTAAATAGTTTTGGAAATCATTTTTTTCATCTGTATTGCTGGTGTTTTTTGCTACTTCCAACTTGTTTGCAAACCTTAGAAAGACTAAATATCCTTTTATGCTTTTTTCCATATTACCCCTCAGCCACACCCAGATGGGCGTGTTTGAGCTTACTGATTGTCTGGTGTGTTGAACCGTGTTATTTTTGTGCCCTCTAAACCTCTAAATGTCTTCCTCTGTCCTGTCCGTTCACAGGGAGTCCCTCCAGAGCAGTGTCCACTATGTCCCTGTCTGTGCGGCCTACGCGCCGAGCCCTTGCCAGGTCCATCACTAGGAGCCAGTCCTTTGCCGGAGTCAACTCCTACGATAAGCCTTACAGGTTAGTCCACACAGAAATATAGGCAGAGACACACAAACACAATATTCTCCTTCTTCAGTGCGAGGAGACCTGGTAATTCGCGAGGACAGTGATTACAATTACAAGCTGAGGTGTAACAATGCACAATATTGTGTTGCGCCGTTGCTAGCGTGTTAGCTTGTGGCATGTCCTCTCATCTGCACACACATCGCCCTTCTCTCTCAATCAGTGCATCTGTTTCTGTGCTGCCGAGAAACCAGTCTGAATAGATCAAGCACAACTTTACTGTGCTTTTCTAAAATGTCAAATATAAGTGAGAATTTTATGGATCATTACATCTAGTAGTAAATCAGTATTCTGGTTTATTCAGTATACCTGTTGCAATATTTCCAGTGAGTTTTGACATAGTTGTTATACCGATATGCAACAAAACGCAGATAACACAATGTACAAGCAGTGCAATCCATGTTAATGTTATCCTGTTTGGCTGATTGACAGAGTCAAGGATGTTTGTCATGTTACAAATGAAAATGAAAACACAGCAGACCCTCAGTCACCTCCCACTGTCAAGCCTGTTGCATTTGAAGTAGTCCACTAAAAAATGGCTGGACTTTTGAGTTTAGCCTTAGGACACCAGAGTGCTTTTGCTAAAAGAAGCTGCCTGACTTGGTGAGCTGAATCAGACGAAGCCACTGTGATCTAGTTGGTACTAAAGTGTTAATAACTGCAATATTTTCAGAATTCCAGGAGAATCTGACGGTCCGATGTAGAAGTATGTTGGCCGCACATGAGACGAATGATTTGAGAAATTCCACAAAGCTGAAGTCAGCTTATTTTTAGAATTTCTCATTCTCCCCTTCACTGGTGCAGCAGTTACCATGGTGTATTTACGTTGCTCTGACACGTCAACACACTGCAACACATCCCATTTGTTTTCAGTCGGAAGTGTCAGTTCCATATGACACGGCCATGTGGTGCGTGATGGGTCTGGTGCATCGAGTTTTGGGCATGCGGTGCATCGGAAAGTTAGGCAGAGCTGAATTTTATGCAAATGATTCCGGCCAGTATGATGCGTCTACCCAATCTTAAAATATTTCTGCACAACATAGAAGACCAGTGGCGAAAGCTAATATATTTAAACACAACTGTTTACCTCCAAAATTTTAAATTTGGCCGAGAAATCAATTAGTTGGATATTGATAAACTGAAATGACTGATATTGACTGCTAGTGATCATAAACATTCATAATCTTAATCTGTTCAAGTTTAACCTTTCTAATGTTTCAGAAAATATTAGTGCAATGGTGCATACTATGCTAACTTTCTGATTATTGAAAAAAAATAAAGCATTGCATATATATGGAGAGACTACACATCAGTTTCGCAGGGAACTCCAGCATAACACCCACAAACAGGCAATGAAGAGGTAGGATGCGTTCACATCCATTGATGTGCTAGAACAGTTCATTGTTAGGCACCGGTAAAGGTGCCTGAATGTAACTGCTGCTCCATTCAAGGTGGAACACAAAATTTGATCAAAAAAAAATACTTTGAATGAGACTTCACCCTTTTATAAATTAAATTGTGCATTTAGCAGTGTTTTTGACGGTCCTATGGGGCTAGCTAATGTTATAAAGCAGTATTGACAGGTTTATCTGTGTATTGTCCAGTTTTGTTTTTACTATTTTGCACAATAAAATATTTCTGGCTTACTTTGGCTTCTAAAAATGGTTGTTATTAAAAAGTGAGAGGATGTCACAGAAAAATAATCCATTGTTAACTTAAAAGGTTTACCTAACCCCTTAAAATCCCAGGCTTATTGCATATTAAGACTTATTATTCACTAAATCCAGGGCCTTTAATGCAAACCGGCTGAGCTGTTCTTAGGTTATGGAAGTGTGTAATTAAACTTTGGGCCTGCCAGTGGGCCCTGGCCATTTAAGGAGTTAAAGGAGGAGTCAAGGAGTTTTATTGTTATTTTTTATTTGACCAAAAAAACATATCGTGATATATACCAAAACTGTCAGAAATTTTAATTATACCATCATATGAATTTTTGGCCGTACCATCCAACTGCTAATGACACCCCTAATAACAAGGTTACCCCTATAATAAAAAAAGTCTGCCCACCACATTTATGTTAAAGGGTCACACCTGACAGGACGTCCTATAGAGCCTACATTTCCTCCCCATTGCAGAGTCCCTGTGACTGCTTAAGAAAAGGGTCGGCCTCCCAAAAGCTGCAGACTTGCATTTTGACAGTAAAAGGAAACAGTCTCCCCTTGTGCCCCCTTTTCTTTGCTGTAGGAGTGAGAGAGAGAGATAAAGAAAGAGAAACTCTGTTGGTTCTCTTATTACTCCCAATACACACCTCTTACTTGCCAAATTCCCTTACTCAAATGCCTGGTTTTCCAGTTGAAGCTGCGTGTTGGAGTAGCACTGTTATACTATATGTGAATGATATTGTGCAGTGATAATACTATGGATGTTGTTATCCAACAAAAACATTTCTTTCTTGACACGACCCAAAGTTTTTAACCTTAGCTGAAGTTGGAAAAGCAGGTTTATTTAGTGTGGTACTTACAGACACATTCTGCCATAAATCCAATTCGGTGAGGGATTATTTCTTGTGAAGACAGTTCAGAGGAATTTAGTGACCACACATCAGTTCCTTGCAGTAATGTTTTAGTCTGCTTACTCCTGCATTGTCTGTCTCTGAAACAGAGTCTACCTGACTGCTGATTCACCAGGCTTAATGAATGTTAGCTCAGTTTTGATGATAAGTAATCAAATGTTAATCTCTGATTGCTCAGGTGTTGATCTTTAAACTTATTGTTCAGTAACTGCTATAAATGACTCAATAACTACTACAAATGCCTCAGTAGCTACTGTGATATCAGAAAGTTATGTGCTTATGAGAGTGGAAGGTTCCCACATACAGACCCTTGTGGTTTCAAAAGGGGAAAATGTTAATTTTGAATGAAGTGCTCCTCTGAGCCAGATATTCCTGTCATAGCAGAACGTTACTCACCTCTCCAATTCTTATTGAACGGTCTGTCATCAGTGCATGGAATAGTCACATTTCACATTCATCTGCCAGCATGTTTTGTAGAGTGTTATTGATTTTAGATTTAATTTCAGTTGTTTATGTTGCTCGTGATGGAGCACCTTTACTCTCTCATGCATTTGTATCAGCTGGCATGAGAGAACAGAGAACATGTAGGTGAAATTCATGCCTGGAAAAAAGCACAGTTTTCTAAATAGGGCTGTCAAACGATGAAAATGATTAATCACGATTATTCACATTATTTTGATCGGAATTAATTACAGTTGTGTTATTTGGAATTATTTTCTCTTTAAAAACCAGTGCATTTTGTATGATGAGTGGATGAAATAAACTTCACCATAATTTATTTATTACTTTCAGTAATCAATAACATTTCATTGTGTAAACACAGGGATCACATAATCTATACATGAAAATCACATGAATGTGAAAATAGGGTGATTACAGTTTCTGGTTTTCACCGCCGACATCCGGTGACCACAGCAGTGGCTGCATGTTCCAGTTCCTCTGTGATTGCAGTTTCTCATCTCATACCTCCATGTTACTTTCTTTTTATTTATCCGTGTGTTCTCCCTAAGACGTCCTCCGGTGTAACGTTACTAATGTTACTAGTATTGTTGGCATCAACACTGTATTTTGCTTAATGTTACTTTAGACTTCCAGTGTAAACAAATTTACCATTGTAGTAGCTGAAAATAACTTTGGTTTTATAAGTGAGCCATCAATGAAACTTCTTGCTATTTAAAAGCTTGAATGAGAGGAGTACAGTTGCAGAATCAAAGCAACAGTGTGCAAGCAGTTTAAAGGATCAAACTAAACAGCGCTAAAAACTTGTGGTGTTAAGTGTTATCCTATTAATGCATTATTAGCATGCTAACCTCGACACCACTGCAGTTTTGCTGTAAGGTTGAATGTGTGTGTGTTTCAGGAGCCTCTCTGTGTTCAGCACTCCAGCGTGTGCGAGGAAGACTCCCTCCAGAGCAAGCAGGATGTTCACCCTTTCCACCAAGTCCCCACCTCCGAAGGTGCCCCAGCCCGAGAGGCTGGATGAAGTCTATGAGGCCCTAAAGAGAGGACTACAGTGAGTATACACACACTCCCTCTCTCTCACAGTACATATCCAAATACTTACAGTGCTTACAGTTCAAATTCTTACAGTACACATACTTAGAGTATTACTATTGGCGGTGGTTGGCAATAATGGCAGTTTTCTATTAATGCTCTCATATGATAAAAATTACAGCACACACAGTACATCATGTCTGAACACTTGGAGAAGCCTATAAAGAACTATGAGGTGGTCTTGTGTTCATAATCCCCTTCAGGAGTGCTGATCTTTATGGTTGTAATAAATATGGGAGGAATTCATCTTTATTCAGCTGATCTGGCACTGATTTAGGATTTGTCTTTATGATTTAGAGCAGCACATACAGAGGACAGTTCTTATAGTAGTTCATTGTTCCTGTGTTTAGTACTGGTCCTGGAGGGCTGGATTCCAGTGATTTCCCTGTTCAAACACGCTGAATTCAACTCATCAGTGAATTAGCAGGTTTAGTAGGTGTGTTAGAGCAGGTAAATCACCAAAGTGTTGTGGACTCCAGGACCAGAACTGGTGACCTCTGTGTTAAACGTCACACTACTGATGTGCATGTTGCCTAATATCTGGTTTTTGGGGTTCCAGGTCTTACCTGCAGGTTCATCAGATGGAGCTGGACAGCTTAAACCGCCAGATGAAGGAATCCAAGAGGAACTCTCGGCTGGTGAGAACAGGGGACCGACCCACAGTCCATCCTAGCCATCCACTCCTGAGTCCACATGTATCAAATACAGATCTGATCTAGACTTGTAGGCTAACTGTACTTGTAAGGACATTAACAGTAAAACTGAACAGAACAGAAGGAACAGGGACACATGTGGGGATGGAGATCTAAATCTATGAAGTGGAAGACTATAAAGCCCCAGGGAACCTAACTCCGTGATTGCTTTCTATTTGGGTTAAAGTAGTTCTTGTAGTCACACTGTATGCATTTACAGGGGCTTTGATTATTTTAGTTTTAGTGGTTCAATTCTTTTTTTTGCATAATTTGAAAACTCTAATTACCCTTTCCAGTTACCATTCATTTCATAATGAACTGACCAACAGAAATGACCTGAATAGTCATAGTTTTTTCCTTGTCCTGTAAAGTTACCAAGATACCAGCTTTTGTTTCCGAAAGCAACAGTATTTATACTATGTTTCCTGGGGCTTTAAACGAGTCTGTAAGATGAGGTGTCTGAATCTAGGTTTTTATTCAATGATGGTTCGTTGCTGTTAATTTTAAACTTCTCTTTCTCTCTACAGGGTTTTCTTTATGAACTGGACAAGGTGAGGGGGCTCTGTATTTTACATGCAATACTTGCTATTTTGTGTTTAGAATGATCTTTAATGAAGACACAGAAATGCCTGACTATATCTGCCTTTCTTGTAGTGAGTATGTCATATAAGGTTAATACTCTCTTTCTTGCAGCAAGTGAAGGTGATTGAGAGATTCATGAGACGGTTAGAGTTTCATCTCAGTAAGGTAAGCACAGTGTTATACGCATAACGCATGATTAGAATAAGCGATTTGATTTCCACTTCAGCTTACTGAACTGTAATGTGATGATGTAGACAAGTTTATACAGAAGTGTTCTTATTGAACTGGAGCAGGTCAAGCATTCAGTGCTTCATTCCCAGGAAACGTCATGAGTGTGTGCACGTGTATGCATGTGTGTGCGTTCCTTTATGTTATAGTGCGTAGGTACAGGAGAGTATGTCTTTGTGTGTCAGTGTGCCAAAGCTGTGGCTTGTGTGTGATGTAGCTTAATGTACATCCCTCAGTAGCTCCACAAGCATAATGTGTGCGTACGTGTTATATGTGTCTGTGCTTGACTGTGGTGTGTACGTGCACATTTGCTGTCAGACACACTTCCTCATATATGTTCTTTGGTATTTATACACTTAAACTTGCACACACACTGTGCAAACTATGCAGGGGACACGGGTCAGAGACAAGGGCAGCCCCCAGGCCCAGTTCACCCTCATGCTGACCAGTAAGCCTCTGATTTAATGGGCCAGAGTAGCTCCAGCCAGCTGCGGGACAGGAAGGGGCCTTCATCCTCCTCCTTTTCCTCTCCTGCTGCAGCTTCGTTTGATGTGTGATACGTTTGGTTTTAAGAGCATGTGGAACAGCAGGAGAGTAAGGAGCATATATATGTGACGATGTGTCTTTCTAGTATATACATGAAATACGAGGAAGAAAACACCCCTCTTTAAGGGGAATCCCACCAATTTTTCAAAATATCTGTGTAATTGAATTTTTGAGATGTAAACAAAGTCATTCAGAGTGGTCTGATGTGAAATGTGGCATTCTTAAGAAAGTATACCCATCCATACCCGTTTTATTTAGTACACAACCCCACCGGTGAACCTACACGTCTTCTGGGTTTTTATATGTATTGTTGACGATGGTTAAATAGCAGTAAGTCTGAAAAAGTATTTTTTCTTTGGGAATTATTTTCCCTCACAACAGCCTGCATGTACCTCTCCAACATGGATTGATTTTAAAAATTATTTGATTAGGCCCCAAAAAATTATTTCATTAGGCCAAAAAATTCTTATCTCAAAACAAGCATAAAACTTCTCTTGGGTCAGGCAAAGTATTTGAATGGATTCCCTGTAATAACTTCTTGTAAGGGGAACTTTCAGAGGCACTAAACACCACCACTGCCATTTTGTCTTTTTTTATGTAGAATGTGGCATTTCACATCACACCTATTTGAACAAGACATAAACTAAATCAGCAGTATAAATTTTGTTTTCATTGCAAAAGAAAGGCTGTCAGGGATAAGAAGCCCCCCTGGTAAATCTTGCTTCAGTTTGTCATCTACGTTTTACAGGTTTTTGCACTCAAGAAAACACATTAGGTGTGGATGCAACTTTTCCTCTACCTTAAATAAACATACAAACATATCTCCAGTGAGACGACTAAAAAAGGTTGCTAATGCTAGAAAGTCGGTAAAAGTCCAAGGAACAAATGTGTACTTTTCTGATGAAAATACATCATGTATCTGGGGCAGTGGGCTAAAGGAGGCCTTTTGCCCTGCGGAGGTCTTACTTTAAAATTTTGCTTCAAGAAAAAACAGACCTTTTTTCTTCCTCTTGAAACCAAATGTAATGCTCTCTGACTGAGTTAAATACTTTGTGGGAAGGTGTAAAAAAATGTGTTCAGAAAAATGAACAGATGATTCCATAATTGAGAAGGATGTGTAGCATTATGAATGACAGTATAATAAAATAATGGCTCACATTTGAAAAGTAGTGCTCAAATCTCAGTGAGGATAATGTGACAAATTCCTCTACATTGTGTATTGTGCAAAAGTCTTAGATATAAAACATATTTGTCTTGACAGTAAGTGTATTTTTACCACTATGTAACATTAAACTGAATAGAAATAAACATGTATACAGTAGAACCTGACAAAACATCAGCAGCACACCTGATTTGGTTTAACGAAAGACTGATTAGCTGAAGCAAGTATTGGATGTTAACTGTAAACACTGTGCTTCCTTGAAGAGAGCTGGAAACATGCATTATCACAATATGTTCATTTGATTATTTGTGTTCATTCTGATGTTCATGTTTTTGAACAAATAACTCTTTACTGTCAAGATAGAAAGCTTTACATATCATTTTCTCATATGGCCTAAGACTTTGTGCATTACTGTATATAATTAATGTTATGATTTTATAACTCGTTGTACCTTAAAAACTTGAAATGTTTGCATGAAAAAGTACCTCTTGATGTTATTATTGAATGAAATAATAAAAATCAGTGACAGTTAATTCAAATCTTATATGCAAAAGCATATAAAAAATGAAGTTGTATATAAGAGATTATATAATAGATACGAATGGAGAGGCAGGATGTTCAGCTGTTAGCTGTTGTTGGCCAAGCTGTGAGGGTTTGCTCGAGAGGCCCAGCTCTAACTCCAGTTCTGACTGGCCTGTTGACTTGCAGTCAGGATGTTGGAGCGCAGTTGATAGGCTGCTGTTAAACACCTCCAGATGAGGGGTGTGTTCATGAGTGTGTGTGATGGAGAGAGCAAGGTGCTGTTCCTGGAATTAATCTGTTAAAGGCTCTCTTTCTTCGTCTGTGTTGTAAAACTTCCAAGGTTTTGCGACCTGTTAGCTCTTTTCTCTTCAGGAAGAACTGCCGTCGTTGTTTTGTTTGTGTTTGTTTCTTATGTTTTTTTTGTTGTTTTTTTGGTTATGGGGCTCCTACATCTCTAACCCTCTGTGACTACACACACACGCGCACGCTGATCTCTCTATGGGTCCATGTTTAATCACACGCCCTCTCATAATACCAGTCATGCAGGAAGGTCTTATCGGAATTACTTTCATGCAGTGTTTTACTGGCCTGACTTCCTTGGAATGGAATTTTCAATATTCTCTGCTTGGAAGTGCATTTGTAAATTAATATCTTAATGAACTGCCAGTCATGGAGAAATCCAGTCATTTCCGAATAAGAAAACATGTTACGCTTGGCGTAATACTAGTTTTTCTATTGTAATATTTTGCGCAGTACTGTGTGCGTGACACTGTGTCCTGACATTGCAGAACAACACACGTGTCTGTTTGAGGGGCTACATCAAATGGGGAATGTGTGAAGTTAACGTCATGATGGAACAGCAGCTGCTGCCAGCTCCCATACAGGCTGCCTCCTGTGGAGGACTTTTTGTGACCAGAGCTTTCACTCACGCACATTTACTTCTCTTTACTTATTCATTCATAACGATGTGCAGTGAAAATCTCACTCTTTTACTTTCCCTCTGAGTAACACAAAGCCTCTCAGTAAAACCAAAGCTTTACAGCAGCTCTTTGAAAGGACGAGTGAGTTAGAGCTTTAGGTGAATGAGTTTGTCTGACTGGGACACCGATTCAAAAAACCAGGACAAACTCCTTAACACACTTCTCTGCCGACCTGTAAAGCATGTCTTCGGGGTGTTTGTTTACATGGCTGGCTCCTGTGTTGTTTTTGTATTTGTTTATATAGGTTATTAGAGGTTACTCACTATGGAAAATAGGGATGCACAATGTAATCAAAATCATATCAATATCAGCAGATATTTGCTTAAAAAAATATCAGAATTCGACAGAATTAATTTGGCCGATGTTTAGGCGATGCAGAGTTACCGTGCTAAAATGTCTACATTGTGTTCATTTTTATGCATTTGTAACACTATGTTTAGTCTCAGTTTCTGCATTTTATAAATGTTTATGCATCCGCATCTGCAGATAAGTACAATATGAACAATATCAGATATCAGCATCAGCCCTCAATGCCCATATCAGTGCAACCCTAATAGAAAACGTACTTACTGAATTTGAAGTCATTTTCTTGTGTTTTTCAGTGTGTGTGTTGGCCATATGAGGAGTTTCCTGTTTGGGTTGCTGTTTGTGGTTTAGAAGGTGCTGCAGACAGATCAATAAAACATTAATTATGTATGTCTGGAACAATAAGGCAACAGAGGACATTCATAGAGCAATAAAAACCCAACATAAGGAAGTAGAGGTTAATTTTGTGTGTGTGTTTGAGAGAGAGAGAGAGAGCAAGCATGTGTGTGTGTGTGTTTGTGCACACTCTCTGTGAAGTAGTTCTAATAAGGTCAGATTTAAATTAGAGCAACGTATTTTGAAAGCTGACACAAATACTCTGTAATAAGCAGACATAAACACATACTGATTGGGCATGGGATGCATGACAGTATTGTACTGTATCTTGATCATTTATATCACAATATGCCACAATATCTATGTCTGAACATAGCGTGGATATCGTCTGGACTTAAAGAACTCTGACCAACTATGTTTTATTACAAGAAGAGCATAGTTAGTCCTGTTGGATTGGATTTGGTTCAACGCAGTATGTGAAATGTTGAATAAAAATTATTTTAATCATGGTTTTTGGTAAACATTTTTAGATGTGTCACTTCTTTCCGATATTTGTTTGTTTCAATTTATCAAGCGTCAAAAAACTACATACCATAAAAAATGTTGTCAAGTACCATGATATTGTATTTTTCGCCCAACCCTAATACTGATGGTACTGTGTTTTCTGTGTTTGTGTGCAGATTGATGAACTGTATGAAGCGTATTGCATGCAGCGGCGGCTGCGGGACGGAGCCAATAAGATGGTGAAAGCCTACACAGCGTCTCCAGGCAGCCGCGAGGCTCGAGAGAGCCTGTCCGAGGCCAACAAGGGCTTCAAAGAGTACACTGAGGTAAAAGAAAATGAGGATTGATTACAGTATGTGTGGAGTATTTAGCAGAAATAGGTAGGCAGTGTTACAGCAGGCATATTAATATTTGTTTTTTTGGATAACAGGTTAGTGAGACGATACGCACTTCAAATCACAAAAAGGATTAGATTTTATGCTACAAAGATTGTTTGTGGTATCAAACCTACTCACACAAACAGTGTTTCCAGTGTTCTGTTAAAGGGCAGTTCCTGCATAGTTCAGTGTTGAACAAAGTCATTCAGCGTAGTTTGAAATGCATTGTTAGATTTCTTTACAGTGGTGGCGATCGGAAGCAGGAGTCTTAATGTTTACAATAAATGTGTAGCCATTGTGCTTATTATGCAAAATGACCAGAGAACCCACACATGTTCAGTGTTTTATGTGTAATGCTAATGGTAATAAAATAGTAATGTTAATAAATGTAAATAAATGTATTCAGTGTTCATAAATGAGTTAATGATTTTTACTTAAAACACCTGCTGTTCCAAATTGAGAGTTGGTATTGAGGTCTGGAGACTGGTCAGTCAAACTGTCCCGATGTTCCATCATGTCTGTTGAATCTGTCACACACAGACACCCTGCAGTTGTCATTCTGGAGTGTGGGAGTGTCAGTGCAGTGTTTTGATCTGGCGCAATCCTTACCTGAAAGGATCGCCGCGGTCATTAAAGGACTGCATTTTTCTTATATTTAATGTTTTTTCTCCTCAAGATCCCAAGAGCATCTTGTATAATGTTTTCAGTCTTATATGTCATTATATTTAGTACACAGTTTGTCACCGTGCTCTGTGAACAGTGCTCTGTGCACCGTGCTCTGTGAAAGCCTAAAAATGATTAAAAGTAGCGACTGATGCTGCTGCTTCAGTGCTGAATTAGCTGTCTGTGAATGTGACATTATCTGTGAATTAAATGAAAGCTAATGTGGTTAACTTAGTTATCTGATTTTAGGCAGGTGAGCCAGTGGACTGTGTGGAACGGCTGCAGAGTTATGAATAGCGACAGTTAGTCGGTTTGATTAGTTTTGACGGCTTTTGCACAGCAATGTAAATGATGATATTATTGCTCAAACACTGAAGTAATTAAACAGTGTCATGTCAGTTAGCTTACACAGGAACACAGTGAAACTTTTCAGTTCTGTTTTGTGACAGCTGTTCTCGCATTAATCTATAAAGCATGCAGAATTCATTTAGGTTCTTCCAGTCATCAAAATGGCAGTGCTGTCATACAGTGACTTCACGTGAGACAGACAAATAGCTGGATATATGTAAATGTTTTTGATTTTGTGACATCACAAAAACACTGAATTCAAGACAGGCTGTTTTTGTACCTTAGTCTCCATATATAGACTCGGGTGTGAAGGGTACATTTTGAAACTTTAACATATGGCATTAAACTCCACTACTTAAAAAAGTAAGGTAAATTAGTTTTCCTTGATATGGGCTTTATAAGGCAACTGTTTGCTTAACCAAGTATCTGAGAAGAAATGATGCAAATATTTTTATTGTCTGGATAGCATATGCTTGAGTGATATTAATGCTTCTACAATGTCACATATTAGCCATGACTGAGGTTATAGTCATTAGTGTGGTAGATGTGGTGAATACATTCACAATCATATTAAGCTGTGCTCTCTGATCTGGCTGTAGTTTGGTTCAAATATGCATTTTCACTTCCATGTGTTGCTAACATGCTCTCTCTTTCTATCTCTGTCTCTCTCTGTTTCTTTTGTTTTTTCTTTGTCTTTCTCCCTCCTTCTTTCTCGGCCTGTGGTGCCACATGCATCACTTTTCTTTTTCTCTCTGTTTTCTCCTCTGAACGGATCTGTAGAGCATGTGCATGATGGAGAGCGAGCTGGAAAACCAGCTTGGGGAGTTCCACGTGAAAATGAAAGGTACGACAGATTTGTGGCGTTTTTCATTCTCTCTTCAGGACTTATTCCAAGTGTCCAGCAGAGCAGTAGCTGCACATTCATGTTGATAAACTGTGTAAGTGTTCTGTGTTATGATTTGTGGACACTTTATTCCCTCACACTTTGGAAATGACACCCATAATTAAATGTGTACATGCAATAAATCTGCTGATTAATAAAGAGTACATGCATAGTGGACCTGAGCGTATTTGTAATGGACTGATGATGAATTGTTGGTTTGAAATGATTGATTGTTTTTGAGTTTTGAGAGGATTTGCTGCTGTTGCAGGTCTGGCTGGTTTTGCTCGCCTCTGTGCCGGGGACCAATATGAGGTCAGTCTTGTTTTCTTTCACTCTTTCATTCTCCTTTTCTATTTCTCCCTTTCTCTTTTTCCTTCTTTTGTTATTTTTTCCTCCCTTTCTTTCTCTTATCTCTTTCTCTTTCTTATCTCTTTCTCTTCTCCCTTTCTTTCTTTTCTTGTTATCTTTCTTTCTCTCTTTTCTCTTTTTCACCCTTTCCTTCTTTTTTCTTTCTTTCTTCTCTCTCTTGCTTCTCTTTCTATTTGTCTTTTTCCTTCTTATTTTTCTTTCCTTCTTTTCTCCCTTTATCTTACTTTCTCTTATGTCTCTATCTCGTTCTCTGTTTTTTTTTCTTTTTTCATTGTCTCTTCCCTTTGCTTTCTTTCTCTCTTTCTCTTTTCTGTCTGTCTTTCTCTCTTTCTTGCTTTTGTTCTTTTCCTTATTTCTCTTTTTTGTTTTTTGCTTTCTTTTCATTTCTCTTGTATTCTCTCTCTCCTCCTTTTTCTTCTGCTCTCTCTGCTGGTAGCTTGCTCTGCAGGAGATGTTTCTGCATGATGGCATTCACATCATCCTTCATCAGTCTTGTGCCTCGCCTGCCATGAGAGGGGAAGAGAGAGAGAGAGGGACAGAGAGAGAGCAACATAGACAGTGAGATAGATGCGTTGTATCTGGCACTCGGGGTGTTCGTGGCTTGTGCAGGTGTGGGTTTATGGAGGCGGAGGCTAATTGGAGAAGAGAAAGTGTCGTCAGCCCCGCCTCCACCTGATTAAAATTGAGTTGAATGATTGACAGGTTCATGGATGGAGTGAGTCAGCACTGCAGTATGTTTAGAGAGCGTGTGAGCTTGAGAGGAGAGAGGAAGAAAGAAGAGGGAGGAATGGGGCAGATGGAGTGATGGAGCAGAGAGTTTGGAGGCAGTTACTCTGAAAGCTGAGGCTTTTCTGTCCATCTGGCATCGTGGAAAAGATGGCATTCCCACACAAACACAGTTAATGCTCGTATTGTGTGAACTGCTCCAGCAGCAGAGCTCTCACCCATTTAGGAGATATAAACATTAAAACTGTATTAATATCGGTGGATTCAATTACAGCTTTCTGAAGAGCTCACTCAGGTGCTTTAAGTCTCCTCAAGCTCTGTTCTTTGTTTAAGCTCCTGTGTACTGAGCACTCTGTTCTTTAGTGGATGTCAGCTTGCTTGTGTGTGTAAAGTCATGTCTCCTGTATGTGCTCTCATCACAGATCTTTATGAAATACGGCAGACAGCGCTGGAAACTGAAGGGTCGGATCGAGATCAACGGCAAGCAAGTGTGGGACAGCGAGGAGATGGTGTTCCTGCCCCTCATCACTGAGTTCCTTTCTATAAAGGTACAGTCTGGGTGTTAATCACACGATAGTCTCTCTCTATCTCACCTGCGTGTTCTTTTTCTTGTTCTAGTTCTAGATAGCTTTATTGGCATGACTGTATCCGGTAAAATATTTCCAAATCAGTAACACAGTAACAAGAACATCATCAACAAAAATAACAATAGTAACAACTAGGCATGCATAATGATACCGAAATCATTGATATCTGCAGATATGGTTTTTTAATCAAATTTATCAGCATCAAACTGTTTAGATTTGACTAACAACTAATAATAACATAAACAACAAACACTGTTGTAATCATAGTATTCCTAATAACAATTATAAGTTAATTAAAATTAAATAAGATATACGCTTTTTACTATTTACATACTGTGCCCTTTAGGAGTTATCTATCTCTGTCCGATCTCTCCCTCTGTTTCTACCTCTTTCTCACACACACACACACACACACACACACACACATACACTCAGAGATCACAGTCACATCTGTGTGTGTGAGATGTTAATGGTCCTAACAGCTCAGTGTGAGCAGCTGGACTTTGACTTGTTTTCTCCTCCAGCGGTTCCATCACCCGACAGGGAGGGAGGGCAAGAGCACAGGAGATAGGAAAGGGATATTAAAAAACAGAGGGGAGGGAGAGAGGAGCCGTAGGCGAGGAATGAAGAGAATGCAGCTGATGTTTGTCAGAAGTGTTTTTAAACAGGCCGCTTAAAAAGACGATCGCTGTAGACTCTCATTCAGCGCGACTGACCCCACAGAAAAGGATAATACTGTGGAGTTTTGTATATATAGACTCTTTCCAACTTTGATGCCTGCAACACATCCCAGAAAAGTTGGGACAGGAGCATGTTTACCACTGTGTTACATTACCTTTCCTTATACTTTCCTTGGCAAGCCTCTGCCCATTCTTGCACATAAAGGACTGGGCCTTTCCTGGATGATTTATTTATACTTAATTATGATTGCATCACCTGTTTAGACACCTGATCAGATAAAGCATTAAATTGCATAAGCATGTTGTCTTTGGAGTGCTTTGGTTTAAATAAAGGTTAAAGTCTGGTCTGTTGTTATTTGCATTTCATGTACTGTCCAAACATTTTTGGAATTGGGGCTGTATCTAAAAGTCTTCAGGTCAGCCATCTAGTACCCTTATGATGCACTTACTTCTAGAAATGCAGTTTAACTGCAGACTTTCCAGAAATAAATACTTTTTGCAACCGGTGAGATGTCAACATTTGATTGATCAAATCACCTAGAATCATGGAAGCCTGGGGTGTCATTTTGTGCAGTGTGCTTTGACGGTATTATGTTGATGTTTTTTTACGGCTTGCAAAGTGTTCTGTGTAGTACATACTGAGTATTCAGTAGACAATGTGACTTCTCACCCGCAGCTTAACTGTGCTCCCAGAACTTCAGTCCTGGCTGTTCGGTTATAATCCCTGTTTGAATTAGTCTTTAGACTCCTGCTCTAATCACAAACTGCTCTACCAGAATTTGCTTCCCTCTCTGAATGGTGCTAGATGCTGGCAGGCTGGACAGAGTATCCAGTGACCAGGCCTGGCTGTGTGATGTGCTGGTACATGTCCCCATGAGATAAAGACTGAATAAACCCCTTTTGGTTGTCAAGGTGACGGAACTGAAGAGCTTGGCTAATCACGTGGTGGTGGGGAATGTCTTGTGCGAGACCAAAGACCTGTTCGCCGCCCTGCCGCAGACCGTGGCCGTGGACATCAATGACCTGGGCACAATCAAACTCAGCCTGGAGGTCACGTGGAAGTATGTTTCCCTCGTCATGTTAAAGGTTCCTATAAAAACACTAACGTGAATAATAATGACTGGTAGTACCAAATTCTTATGAGAACTACTGCTTAGGAGAATGTCATTATTTTATTTTGATGAAGATGGCTCATTATCTAAGGGACTCTGCATAACCCGGTTTTCTGCCCATTAAAAAATATACATATATTTAAAAAGGAACAGGTGGGCTAATTTGGTAAAAGTGATTGAATGAAGTAAGATAATGGTATAATGGGTTAACATCCAGTTAGCTCACTTTTACTGTGCAGTGTATGCGGGTACCATACATTGTGGCTGTTGTTCATAGTCTTTATATGGTCTAAATCTGTCTTTTTATTATGTATGCAATTATTTAATGTTCTAAATGTACAGACAAGTCTACGTGAAGTAATTTCTTACAGTAACAATAACATATCGTCATACTGCCATCTCCTACTACAAGGTGTAGTAGTATTTCTTGTATTACAGGCAGAATTGACAGAATTTGTTTGATATTTTCATCATTTGAACAAGCTGATCTTACAGCTCATATGTGGAATCTTAGTTTTACATACTGATGATTACACCAGGAACTAACACTTTCTCCCTCTTTGTCACTCACTCCATACCTTCATCTTCCTCAGTCCGTTTGACAAGGATGACCAAGCCTCCACAGCCAGCACGGTGAATAAAGCTCCTACGGTGAACAAGCGTTTCTCCACCTATAACCAGAGTCCTCCAGACACGCCCTCTCTGCGTGAGCAGGCCTTCTATGTAAGTGTCTTCCCCTCTGTGTCTTACCAGCTCGGATTCTGCACACATTCTAGTTCAACCTTCAAATTGTTCACCGTTACAATTTATTTGATGCCTCAAACAAATCAGAATTCAGTTCCAGGACTTAAGGCTCCTCTCAAATGCTGAGACAGATTACTGATATTGCCAAATTAATGATGTCAATGTCATAACTAGGACTGTCACAATCATGAAATTTTAGTTGACGAATAATTGTCCTGTAAATAATTGCAAATAACAGTAGAATTGTTTTTTTTCTGTTCATTGTATGCAACTAGTAAAGTACAATCTTGAAGTGGCCAAATTAACTGATTATCCAGAGTCATTCAAAGCAATTTTTCTTGAGAGTGAAAATATAAGCAATAAAACTTTAGAAGTAGCTACATAGCTGACAAATAAACAAACATTATTTGTGCTGCCCTCTACTTAGAAGTTAGAAGCGTTAAAAGTTAAAGACTTTTTTGTTTTTATGAGCCCTATGGTATCTCAATGGAAGCATTTGTTGCTTTCTTTTGTTTATTTACCTCAACTCATGGCATCCATTCACATTTTGTTTTGTTTCTGCTTAATATGATTGTGAATTCTAATGACTGGAAAATGATCTCAGTCAGCTTAAATAATTGCTATCATCTCAATAATAATGAAACAATTATGTATTAACTCTGACAGACCTGGTCATAACTGTTTTTTAGTAAAAAAAGTATAGCATTACTGACACAACAGAGAACCTATCAACTTGTTTAGATTCACCAAAAAGCTCAGATCTCAAAGCAACAGTTTGGTGAAAAGTCAAATTTTCACGATTGTCCCCTTTATCCTAAATGTAGTCAGTCAGCCAAGACACATTTGGTGCCTGATTTTTTTTCTTTAGTTTTGCACTGGAGCAGTGAGGCTAAGCTAGCTAACAGGTAACAAAAGCATATGTACACTAATTAGTAGTAGCAGACATTTTGAAACCTGCATTTTGTCCATACGTTTTTATTTCTTCAATTGATACTTTACTCTTTCGCTTCTTATTGCCATTCTAGTCTGTTACATTTTAGCAGATGGTAAAAATGTACGTCAGTTTGTCCAGAGATGGGTAAGTTTACCTTTGGGAGTAGTCTTGGAATTTGGTGAATCCAGTTCCAGCCATCTATTCTCACTGTGCTCTCTGACTCCATCGGGCTACGACTACTTTAGTCGGCCCCTCGGAGTTTGCCGTCCAAGCAGCGCTGGTCTCTCCTGGACGTGTTCCGGGACACGCTGGCCGAGAAGCTTTCTCAAAGCTGTAGCTGCGGTGATGTCTCCTCTGCCAGCATTGGCTCCTCTCAGTCCCACAGCCATGTAAGTGCTGCTAGCCACTAGCTATTAGCCGCTAGTGTCAAGTAGATTTGTATGGCCCAAGTAGCGTCTTAGCTGTCTGTAGCTAGAAGTACTTCTAGCTGTTAAGTAGCGCACTGGCTTTAGTTGGTTGGCTAGTCACATTTGGTCTACGAAGCTCTTAGAGTGCTAGAGGCCATTGTCATCTGTAGTTTGTGAAATGAAACCTTGTAGAGCCTTGTAGTTGTAGGTGCTTTGTACAGTAAGTACAATAATCTAAACTATTTGAGAGCTGATTCTGTTGTAAAGATTTGAGTTGTGGTAGCACCCTCTCGCTTTGTAGAATTGCTGTTACAGCGATACTCACACATACACAAGTGCAGACTCACATGCTATCATTTCCACATTGCATGCAGTAAGTGTTATTGTTGCGCGGGGTGACAGAGAGGAGCTGCAGCAGAAGTTAATTAGTGGGAGCAGGCAGTGTGTTAGCTGACTGGGCCGATCGCCAGCCTCCACTCGGCCTGAATGGAGCACTGGGAGAAGGACTACGCTAATGCCCAATGACAGAGGCCAGGCTCGCTCATGCCACATCACACATTCTCTCCTCCTACTCTCTTACTTCCAATTCCTGTTACATAAGAGTAATAGAAAGTGACAGTGTGCCCCTTACAATTTTTTAAAATCTTAATATCAATCTTATCCTCCTTCTCTCCGCCGCTCTCCCTCTCTCTTCCTCTTTCTCTCTCTCACTCTCTCTCTCTCCATCTCTGTAGAACATGCTGAGGCGGCAGGAGGAGATGGAAAATGGGACGGCCTGGTCGAACTCCTCTGAATCCTCTGACGACTCATCCAGCCCCCAGCTCTCCCTGGGCTTGCGCCACGCCCACAAGAACCTGGTCCAGCCTGAGCTTCAGACCTCCAACCCCGCCATCGAAATTTCCTTCACTCCCCGCGAATCAGCCACCTCCACGCCCACCCGCCTGACCAATCAGAAGGAGGAGGACGAGGAGGAGGAGGAACGGGGACTGGAGAAACCCCGGGTGACCACCATCACGGTCACCACCGATGCTGCTGAAAAACACGGCATGCCAAATGGCCACGCCCGCTACTCTCGATCGCTGAGCCACATCAGTGAGAGCAGCGTGGATGCTGCATTGACAGAAAGGCCAGTCAGCGAATGCTTGGAGCCTTCTGAGGTGTCCTCGGTGTTGGTAACTGAACACGTGATGGACTTGCCAGTTCGGGCTGAGCCATGCATGGTCATTCCTGAGCCCCTAGAACCTGTGGCACCCAGATCCTCTATCTGCTCTGAATCTAGCTCTGAGACAGCGCTCCCTGCAGTAGAGGAGGCCTGTGATTCTGCTGCAGAATCTGAGGAGCCCACAGTACCTTCCAGGGCCAGCTCTGCCTCCTGTACTCGCAGTGAGGAGGACTCCATCTGTATATCCCCTAAAACAGAGGCCTGTTCCCAGCAGAATGACTCTGGGCTTTCCAGGACTGAGAACTTAACACAGGCCCAAGACACGCAACTTCTCCCTGCACAGGATGAAAAGCTTGTGGATAGGGCAGTGGAGCAGGAAACGGTCAGTGGCCTGGAGGAGGCCCTCAACGCTGTGATTTCCTCTCTAGACGACTACAGGGGTCAGTTCCCTGAACTGCAGGTTCTGGAACAGGAGCTCAGGCTGCTGGAGGAAGCTCTAACTGTGAGTAATTGGATTTATGTAGTAGGACCCACTTGCTTTGTACAATTGTTAGCCCAAATTAGAGCTCCAACCGAGTCAACAAGGTTTCTTATTTATTGAGAATTATTTTTATTTGCACTGGGGCCTTAGTTACAGCTCTGTTTTACATTCTCCAAGGACAGTTAAATGCAGGGGAAAAATTATGTACAAACCTCAGTTGGGAAAAGCTAATTAAGACAAGAAGCAGTGATTAATAAATTATGTTTGACCTGTATTAAAGTGAAAACAGTACAAAACTCTATATACTTTATTAAAACTTATATCGTGCCTGCAGCATCTTCCAAAAAAGTGGGATAGGAGCAGCATGTTTACTACTGTATTACATCGCCTTTAATTCTAAAACCACTGGATAATCATTTGGGGACTGAAGACATCAACAGATACAGTTTTGAAAGATGGAATTTTTGTCATTCTTCCGGTATGATTCCACATCCATGCTGTCATAACACATGCAGAACGTGGCTTGCTGATGTTGAAATTAGCATGAACGTCCCTGAAGAACATTGTCCTGAAGGCGACATTTGTTGCTTCAAAGTGTGTATATCTTTCACTGTTAATGGTGCCTTAACAGATGTGTAATTTACCCCTGCTCAGGGGCACTAATGACCCTGGCTTTTGAAATTTTTTTTTGGCCCGGAGAAACAATTTGAATTTCACATGAGCTCAAGCCCAGAGATGTTAGATATATGGCTTCCACTGTGAATAGTAGTCTTAATTTGCATTTGTGAATGCAGTGATGAAAAGGGTTTACTGATAATGGTTTGTCAGAGTATTCCTGAACCTATGTAGTATTATTCAGAAGTATGCTGGTTTTTAATATAGTGCTGTCTGAGGGATCGAAGGTCACAGGTATTTAGAAGATCTTTGTCTTGTTTTTCTGACTTGTAAGTGGTAATGGTCAGGGTTGAGGCTAGGGCTTATAAACAATGATGTGGTATATCGCATTAAGGATAATTAACACATCTGCTGTTGATCGTGTGATCTCTTGACTCCACTGTGTTTTGCTGTGGAGAAAGATGAAAGAGTGTGAGATTAGTCTCTTCATCTCTATTCACCCATGTCACCAGGTCAGGCGCACCACCCTTCCTTCCACCCTGTACATGTATGCGTGTGGGTCCCATCAGGATTCAGGGTGTTCCTCTGCTACAAATCTCTGACTCTTGATAACCATCAGCCTTTCAGACTGGAATGAGGCTTTAATGATGTTGCCCCAGCTTGCAAACTCAATTAAAAAGACAATAGAGGGACACGTTTTCTGTTTTTTGATATTTTGCTACCACAAGCAGTTACAGACAAGTAGATCTCGACATTTATCATAACCCTAATATGACAGTTTGAGTTGGTATTTGGAGCTGTAATCATTTGATGGGTTTTGGGGGGGGGGTTGAAAATGTTTAAAGATTATTATTTTTGTGAAAGCATTTATTGTTAGTTATGTCTTCATGTGTGTAGGGCCGAAGTCGTAGTCGCTCCTCCAGTGTGAGTTTGACTGTGGAGACCGCTCTGGGAAGCTTTGATTTCCTCAACACGTCAGATCTGGAGTATGACGAGGAGGAGGAGGAGGATGGTGAAAGGCGGAGTGTGACAGACAGGTCAGAGCTTCAGAGACTTCTGATCTTTGTTCTATGGTTTATGAGACAGGCTATAAAAAAAGAAAGCAGCCATTGGTGACTTCCTTTCCCAGAAATGGGATCTAGGGAATTTCATTGCAGTGCACTACAGCCATCTAGTGGCTTGAGAGACAACTGCAGACTACTTAATTCCACTTTTCAAGTAAAGCATGTGACTTCTGTTCCAAACCTCAGTGTCAATCATTGCAATTTCTTAGAAACAAAGTTGTGTAGTTTGTTCTTCATTTGTAATTTATACGCATTCACATGTATTTTGATGCGCTTTTCTAACGTGTGTATACAGTGGCCGTGGAGTAGCGGAGGAGTGTGTGGCAGAGGATGAAGGTTGCGAGGATCGTTGCTGGGACGCTCCCTCTGGACCGCTAAGCACTGGCTGCCAGGCTCTAGATCGCACCCTGCTGGTCCATGTGCACAACTGCAGCTCCCAACTGCTGGTGAGTCACTTTGCTGTTCTCTTAAATCCTGCAGCCTTAATCTAGTGGTGGGTCCTGTCCTTCTTTCACTTTGGGTCCACAGTCTAGTGGAAGCAAGCAGATAATAATCACAGTCTGAACTGATTTTTATTTTGCAAAGACCCTGTTAATTCATACGTATGTGAACACTATAAACATTCCTCTTTCAAAACATACCTTTCAGTCGGCAGTCCATACAGTCCACATATGGACACTAAGCTGCAAAAACAGCCTGTTTTGAATTCACTGTTTTCGTGATGTCATAATAATCTGTGTATTTCCATATGTCCACTTATTCAGCCTACAGCATTTTAGTCCCACCCACTCACAATGAAGTTGTGTTGACCTAGCCTGCTTTTTCAATGAGGCATAATACAACAACCAATCAGAACAGAGCTCATCTTTAGTTCTAAGGATTAATGAGAGGTTGGAAGTGGTCATGTATTATGACTGTTTTTGGTACATAAAATCAACAAAACCTCATAAGAAAACCTCAAAGAAAAAAACATGCACAACATAGAATATGGAGTTTTAGGTCTACCTCAGTTTTTTATATTTATGTCATCGTCTGTGTGTAGTTTAATTCATGCTCTTAAATTTAGTTCGTTTTATTTTTATTACTGTTATTACTGCTAGTAATTATTGATTGGCTGTACTTGCATATAACTACATTGTAAGTTAAATTTAACATACTGTATATTCTGTATATTCTGTGATTGTTAATGTTGATCATGGAGAGCTGCAGTGTTGGAGAACACTGTGTTTGACCGCACTGTGCGTGCTGTTGTGTGTGCAGAGGTTGGGGACATTCGGGCCACTACGCTGTGGGGAGATGTACGCTCTGGACCGGCTGCTCCGGGAGGCTCGAGTACTTGAATTGATTCGACGGGTTACCAAAGAGACAGCGGGCAGTGCCGACAAGCCAGAAGAAGGTCAGTCATTCAGTTCTGGACGAGAGATTGAAATCAGGAATAGACATTTATTTTTGATTCATTGTGCGTGAACTTTTATTTTGTATATTTAGTGCCTGTTTTGAATTGTAGATTTTAGTAAAAAATAAATAAGATGAATGTAAGAGTGAAAATAAACAAATAAATAAATGTTGTGAATATTGAATGTTCTGAAATAGAAAATGGTGGAAAAACAACAGATTTTTCTGTTGTTCTTATATCCTCTCTCTCTCTTTCTGTCTGTCTGTGTTTGGGTGGTATGTGCATGTTTGTGTTGGGGAACAGTTGTTCCACAGTTAGAACAGTGCCAGGGGGCAGTGTTGCTATGGCGGCAATGTACGGATGGCTGCAGTGTGTTCAGCACCTCCACAGAGACCTTCCTACAGACACTGAACAACACTTATGCCAACAGATTACCAGAGAGAGGAGCTGGCCTCGCAGACACAGGTGTGTGTGTGTGTGTGTGTGTGGGAGCGTGTGAGAACACGTTTGCTGTATCAGGTGTCGATAATGAACTATAAGAAATGCAAATGCAGGTTTAAAATGTAATATTCTATAAAATACTGCACATTGTACGGATGAAGACCAGTGCATATAACAAAGTATTGGCTTTTATAGATCTCTTATTCTGAATTAGAATAACCTGATAGAATAATATCTGTTCTTCTAAATTTATATACTTCTGTTTGAGGAAGGAAAAGTCAAATTTACTCCTCAAAAAGTGAATATTGTGTTACAAGGAGCTGAGAGGATTTGGAGTACGGTAATATATAGACAAAAAGATAAACATATGTAAACCTCATTTTTGTAAAGGGGTGGGGGACAAAAAAGTCCTGTTCAGGGTATCTGAAGGATTTCATTCCAAAACGCATTATAGTTATTTCCTATAACGCATTATTCCCCCCCCGCAATATACATTGTTGAGAGTGGGATTTACACATACAGGAAATATCAATGCTATACTATGATTAATACCACATTTATTATTATTTATTATTAAAAATGTATTTTCCATTATACATCAGCTGTTGGTCTTTTTACAAGCTTTTTATATTCTAATTGTTACAAATGTCTATACAGCATTTTGGAATAAAACTTTTCAATTGTATATTTTTATGCTAAGCCTATTTATTTGGGAGTTTTATGTGTATAAAAAAATCTTGATAAATAGAATCCTTTTATCTATGACATGTTCTTAACAGCAATATAGTGGCCTCTATTTAGACGTTTGTGTCACACAAAATGTAAAACCAGTAGTATTTATTTTAAACAGTCCATTCCAAGACCATTCCGGTTTTCTTTACGGCAAAGTATTCTTTCTAAAGGTGACTGGTGTGTTTTCAGTTGTGCTCGTTTGAGAAGATTCTTTGCAGACTTCTGCAGGTTTACATCCAAAATGCCTCTGTACACTTCTGAGCTGACAAGCTCTCCGACACCACTGTAAGAAAAACAGCCCCAGACTTTGGTGTTTTCACCTCTTTGCTTTACAGTATTCTTACCGCAGTCTGGATGGAATTCTTCTTCAGCCTTTCTTCACACAAAGAACAAAGAGTCTATCATGAGTTGCTGTTGTGCTGAAATGTTTTCTCTGAAACAAATATCATTTTGTTTATTCTTTCACAAAGAAACCTCAAGACCTTCAATAAAGTTACTTGTGATGAAATGTTCATATAGTTTTTGCTGCACATACTAGTAATTCTGTTTCTGTCTCTCCAAAGTATTAAAGGGGAATTCCACTTTTTTTTATTTAATGTGTAATTCAGTCTTTTGAAATGTCAACAAAGTCATTCAATGGTTTGCTATGAAATGGTTCATTGTAGAGAAACGGGGTCAAATTTCTTTACAGTGGCGGTGATAATAACCAGGGGTCACATTCTATATAACATAAAACATAAATTTATTTAAAATGTAAATAATTTTATTTACTGTTCAACACTGTCAGTGAACTTGTACGTGTCTTCTGAGTTATTTGTGTAGTGTTGATAATTGTAAAATAGTGTTAAATTGGAAAACTATTTGGACACGACATTTGAGCACTGTTTAGCCTTACAATGTCCTGCATGTACCTGTCCCCATGAAGGGATTTTAAAAAATCAGTTTTAGGTTTATCTCAAAACAAAACAATGTCTCAGACCTCAAGCAGAGTATTTATAACCATTTAATGTAATAAATGTCTGTGATGGAGCTTTTAGAGGCATTAAACTATTCAGATGTCTGGTTCTTTTCACCACCATGTGAAAAACGAAGACTCAGGAAGCTTCTGTAGAACTAGAATGCAGAATTTCACATGGATGACTTTGTTTATGTCTTAACCTTTTGTTTATATGTAAATTCTAAAATGTATGGAAGTACCCTTAATTAAGCTTAACCATAGGCAGTTCTGTGTTATTTATTCAGTGCTTGTTACAATAGACAGGTTCCTTTATGTACCTGCACTCATAAGAGACCCCTCTGCATTCACCACATTCATATAACTCAAAGGTGCTTGTGTTATTTGTGATGTCAAAACAGATAGAAACGGCTGACTGACAGGCCACTTGTTTGTGTGTGTGTGTTAGTGTTTTTGCGTTTAGTGGAGAGGATTCTAGAGCGGAAGCTGCCGAGGCGAGGCGGAGGCACAACAAAAGAATCTCTCACCGTCTTCCAGTTCTGGAGTTACCTGGAGGCTGAAGGTGTGAGCGAACTGGACACACACATTGTCGAGCTGGCTGAGGAGGGTATGTGTTTTCTGCTTTTTTTGTTTGTTTGTTTCTTGTTTGTGTGTGTTTGAGAGAAAGGAGGCTTCGGTAGAGTTTCACTCAAACTGTGATTAACTGACTGAAGGTGTGAACTGCTTACTTAAGTGCTTTGTATTTTTCTCAGCACTCAGTTGTTCAGGCTTGTGAAACAGAAACATTCGCAGTGAATTCAGCATGTCAGTGTATCTCAATGAAACTGATTACCCCACCCATCCACTCATTATCACCTGATTTACCTCACTCTTTTTCTCCACTCATCCTGTTCATCTGATCTCCCAACCCCTACTTCACTCATATGTTCATCTTTTTTCCTCAAAATTTCTTATTTCTCCTTTCCTGCAGTGTGGTTGGTGCAGTGTTTGCAGTCTGGTGAGCAGGATGTGTTGCTGAGAGCCCTGAAGAGACCTCCAGAGTGCAGTCTGAAGCGTGAGGGCCTGCGGGCCATCAGCCTGCTGTTAAGGGACCCCCGGGGAAAAGTATGCAGCAGCGCTAGCTCACTGCTGCGCAGCCTGGCTGAACAGCCACGCCACAGAGAGCGGGTACGGCACTGGCTCAGGGACCGTTCAGGAGTGAAGGGCAGGCTGTGAGGCTATTAGGGCTGCTTTTGTAAACATCAATAAGTGTTCTAGGTTGCAAAAGGGTTTCAGTGGAGGATTCTTGTTTCATTAGACAGCAGCATTCAGAAACGTACTATCATTTTGAAATGTTTTTATTATGTTTTCTTAGTTTGGAGAACTCTGCCTGAACTTTAGCTAAGACCAGGAAGAACTCAAGATGTGAGTTCAGAAAACTGGCAATTGTAGGGAAGAGAACAAAACCACACTGATTTAAGATCAGAAAAGAAGAGACTTGGGATAGTTTTCACTCTTGTCAGACTGACCAAACACATACCCTCAGTTTTTTTTCCCTACCAATACCATTCTCAGTTATCTACATAACAGGGTCCATATTTGCTGTGGGACAGCATGAGGTCATTATTTAAATGTAGCCATGTTTGCTATTCTAGATCTTGTTTAATTGGAGTTTTATTCTAAAATGCTGTATATGAATTTGTGACAATTTTGCATAAAACAAATAACCTTTCAATGAGATATGTGACTGTGAAGAGCCCTTTTAAGATCTTCACATAAGGTAAAGGTGAATTCCTAAGGGAGTTAAAATGGTTCTTCTGTGGCATCACTCTAAGAACCCTTGTGGCACCTTTTGTTCATTTACATTTTGTATTAAATGCTTGATAGTGGCTGTGATCATTGTGCATTTTCATTTTTCACATTGTGTGCAGGTTTTTGAATGTCATCAGACTTAATGTTGACCAAATGTCTCTGTGTCTTTGTGTTTCAGGCGTTGGTGAGCTGCCTGGAGCTGCTGGAGGATGAGAGTGTTGAGACTCGCGTGTGTGGATGCAAAGCACTCGCATGTCTAAAGGTCAGTCCCTCTATCTGGAACGTTTGTGATGTTCGCTCTTTAGCAATCAGGAGGCAGTGCTGCTGCCTCTGCCCAGCTCCACACTTCATCCTCATCATTTTGCTTTCTACTCTATCTACTGTGAAGTTTTGAACTGAACTCTTTGCATTGAAGATCTGTTTCTTAGCAGCTGTTATCTTTGGTGCTTCTATCATTGTGAAATCATATCAAAACAAACACAGTTTCATAGTGTGTGGTGCGTAACAGCCATCAACAAAATTAGATTAGTCCAGATCCTTTAGGAAAACAAGCCTGAAGACTTATTCATGAAGACTCGCTGTCTTAAAAAAGTCATTACATTTTTGTGAATCGCGTTAATGGAATATGATTACACATTGTACAGTGACTTGCACTCAAATCTGTCAGAACACATATAGGTTGTAACGATAGGACTGACTTTCTGACTTTCATGCAAAAAAGTTTTGAAACTATGCAAAAAACAAAGCTATGAAGTCTGCGGTTATATTTTTGATATGCAGAAATGTATAAAACAAAACCCTCCATGTTTATTTTTGTCTGACAGGCCAAAGAGAGCATCGAGCAGCTGGTGTATCTGTGCCGCACAGACAAGGAGGATGTGAGAGACGCTGCCAAACAAGCTCTGCTGGTGCTGGGTGAGTCAGAATAGAACGTGAACGGATGCAAATGGAAAATGGATAGGTAAATGAACACCAAAGGGATAGGGAGTGAGCAGCAAAAGGAGGACAAAGATACAGCAAAGAGAACAGCCACAAAAGGGGAGGAATTAAAAATAAAATAACAGGAGATAGAGGCAACCTTCAGATAATAGAACAGCAAAATTATATAAAAACAGTTAAAAGGGGAGTAAGGAGGGATAGGTTACTTCATAGCAGTTGGCCGAAATCTGATGGGACCTTTTTTGTGTGTGTCTTCTCCAGGTGAAGAGGGGAAGTTGGCGCATCGGCACGTGGAATCGGCGCAGGATGGAGTCCCCCGCCTTTTTGCGCCTGGCAGCATGGCCAGCACTGCATTCTAAATGCCATCGTACCAGAGATACCAACAGAAACTATATACCCATCTCTCCTGTGTACTCACAGTCATAATTATGCCAACAGAAGACTCATGATCAAACATGCCCCCACACACTGTTATAGACGTAGAGATGCAGACATCATCGCCATGACGACTACATATGAAGATGGTGTCGAAGGTTGTATGCACTCAGTAGACACCAGGACACATGAAATCTGTATGTTGGTAAGATACAATGTAGAAAGAATTCTGTTAAGAGATCCAGAAAAAGAATGGGTGGGGTGGGGTGGGGTGGGCTTTACCACAAGTGTTCTGCTGCCTTATGACCTGATGGTGTTGCCTTCACAAATCATGGAAGCTCATACCAGTGCTTCAGATTCCAAGTAGACGAACAGCGTTACTGCACTTTGTGCCCTGTGGCACTAGCAGTGGAATGAAGTGTTATTTTCATGCGACTCACAAGAGGATGCACTTTTTAATCATCAGAGTGTTTGATGAAGGTAGTTGTCCTCTTTGTAAAGAGTACTGATCTTTGTTTGGCAAATGCAAGTCGGTCGTGGGAATGGGCTCAGGAGCGTACTTACTCCTCAGGGAGGTGGGGAGACTAAGTGTATGTGCGTGTGTTTTAAGGAGGGAGTCTGTATTAGTGTAACAGTGCCATCATTCCATACGTTCATTATATATGCTTTACTGACAAAGTACATATAATCCATTAAACGTGTACGTTTTTTTAATTGTGTTGTAATTTAGTTGGAAACCAACATGTTAATGCTCAGCAGCAAACACAGACTCGCTTCGAGTGCTAAACTTCACCATGCAATTCCGTGAGATTCGAGCCAACAGCGATGTATCTAAAGAAGATATCTGCTGTATATACATTTTCATATATATATATATATATATATATATATATAATATATATATATATATGAAAATGTTATAATTATATAAATGTATAAACTATGGTGGACTTTGCCTTGGAACAGGTATAGACAGCTTCTTCATGCATGTGATTTTTCCACTGGCCCCCTTTGCGTACTGAAGAAGGCTTATTTTGGAGCATTCTTTGAGTGCTACTAGATGCTCAGGTTCAGTGCTAGAACCTGAGATTCAGTTTTAATTTACATATTTCTTAAACTGACTTTCTGTTAAGAACTTCAGAGCAGACAAAGAAATCCTCCTCAATGTATAAGTGCCTCAAAAGACTGGGGAGTGATTATAATAAGAGACGTAGACTTTATTTAAAATTAAGAATAGCAGTTTAAGGTGACAAACTGCAACACAGATTTAAGTATTTTTTTCCTTATGACATACGGATTGTGCAGCATTAAGGAACTGATTTATTGTGGTTTTTTTTTTAATAAGAAAAGTATATTGTCTGACAAGGATCTTGCTGACATCAGGTGTAAAAAATAAAACAAAATGGAAAAACCCTTTTTTGTGTCTTACTTGAAAATAAATGCTTGAAAATGAGAATGTAAACTTAGAATCTGCAAACATTTGTTACATATATACATGAGCGTTTTGTGACAGTTCCTAACATTTGATCATTTCTATTTATTTTATTTAGTACAATTTGGAAAATTTGGTTTTAGCGGTGACGTCTCACAAACAGTGCATGGAAATACATATAATCAGGGTATTAGCACACTTCAACAGATGTTTAACAAATGACAGCTTATAATAATTAACATTTGAAAAACATGAGAATAACACTCTGGAAAGAACTAAAGCATAGGGGTGGGCAATATGATTGCATCGTCATTGTGATAAAACATGAGCATATGGATATTATCAGTACTTGAACAGATCAGCTGCCTGCTTATTAAAGACTATACTTTATGATAATATAATAAGTCTGTTTAACTGAATTTAGTTCAGCACAGTATGTAAAACATTGATAATTCTCATTTGTATCTTTAAATGTGGTATTTTGTCATTTCCAACTTAGAAAACCTCAGAAAAACAAAATATCATGAGTTATTGTGTAGGGTGAAAATGTCTAGAAGTATCTTGAATTTTTTTTTTGCCATATCACCCACCCAGACTAAATGCACTACATGCCACATTTAAAACATGACAGTTTTCTTTGAGAGTATTCCTGTAACTTATTATAACATGGAACATACTGTCTTATAACATTATACAACATATGATCTCATGCTTGCTTTTTATTGGATATTATTAAGAACACAAGTTTGATTTCAGCTGTGTAAATCTCACAAAAGTCCCATATAAATAATCCATTACAGAAAAGAGCATTGCTTCGGTTTCATCCACACATCCAGGTCTTCTCTGATGGTTCATCAGGCGCTGATGAACCATCCATGTTTGTATGTGTGTGTATTTTGCTGCCTTTAAGTCCACCTCCGAAGTTCCTACTTACGACTTTGGAGGTAGTAAATATGACTGGATTTGTATTCGTGAGGTTTGGTCGGACACAAGGTAGATAGCACTGGAAATGTTTTAGCTTATTTATTTCTTCGTCATTTAAGAGAATCTTTATTTTGCATTACTGCAACAAGGTGAAGAGCAGAAGATGCTTATGAGATGAGTAATGTTTTTTTCAGTTAGAAGCATCACATACTGTGCACAGGGTTGGGATGTAACAGTACGCAAGTACTGGGAATGCGTAATGTCCAAGTTACATTTTGTAAAGGCAGTACTCAGAACAGTTACCTTTGACATTTTTAGAAGAATACTTTTAAAACAACATTTATATATATATATATATATATATATATATATATATATATTATTCAAAATCATTGCGTGCAAAAAAACCCAGCTAAATAACTGAAATATAACCAGTTTATCAGCAGCTATCATCACTTTTGTTGTTGACACGCCCCCAACTCGGAAACTCTGGGCTCATAGAAAAACCCGTGTTTCCCACTGACGTTAGTAAATACCGTTCAGACGCGCTGATCTCTTAAACATCATGTGTCTGACATCATACATGATTTGAAGGGAGCGTGTGTTTTTGAGCCGGAATAGGAGTGAGGTTGCAGAATTGAAAACAGCGCCCTGTTCTGCTCCTCCTCCGCGGGTTTCCACCCCTCCGCCGCCTCCCCCCCCCCGACTCCTTCACCGCCCCCCCTGCGTGCAGCGCACGCGCAGCAACCGCCTCGGGCCGCCATTTTGTGCGGAGCCTCTACTCTGCAAAAGCGGGAGAGGGATTAAAACCGCCGGAGGAGAAGGACGCAGTTTCTGTGCTTCGCCTCGCACCAGAGGAAGAACCAACCCCCGTGCTTTGCGTCGAATCCGACCAGAGAACAAACGAGGAAAAGCAGGTAAGACGGCAGCAGCACTTTTGGGGAAAAGGGGGGAGTTTTGCAGGAGCTTTAATCGGCCTCTAGGTGTCACGATGGGGCTCCCGGTCCGGGCGGCTGGCGGGGGGTGTTTGTCTCCCTCTATCGTTATCGAAAATTTAGCAAAAAACATTTATAACCCAGCACTTCGGAGTTATGTCCGCGTATTAAGCGCTATCGAACCTATATCGGACGCCATTTCGACCAGATGCCTTTTTTAACACTTCACCGTTTGCTCCCGTCTTTAGGCCAGGCGTCCATTTTCTTTTTCTTCTCTTTGTTTCCTGTCAGAAAAACCCGCCGTTTCTGCGCGCAGCCCTAGCTTAGCCATAAAGCTAATAGGAACAGTAAATGTGGGCTGTTTTCGACTCTCAAAGTTGCACAAACGCCACGAATATGGGTATAACACAAACTATCGCCTTATATTTTTTCCATAAATCAGTTGGTAAACCTCGAATAACACGCAGGCTAATTCGTTAGCCTAGCCGTGCTAGCAGGCTGTTGGCGCCCCTCCTAACTGAAGCTCCTCTCAGCCCTTCCTGGCCCAGACAGATAGACACACACACATACACCGACCCAGTTTCGGGGTACGAAAACACTTCCAGTCTGATGGTCTCAGTTTTGAGCTGCCACTCTTCTTTTCTCCTCAAAATATCACCTCGTGGCGTCGGTTAAAAGTTATTTTAAAAGCGCCCAGGGCCGGTTAGCGCTTTGCCCGCTAGCCAGCTTGTTGCGCAGATGGAAATCCGACAAGGAAGATACGCCGCTAAATGACCCCGATGGCCCATTTTCGACGACTTAATTCAAGTCACAGCTTTTCGACGCCCGCTCCTAGCAGTTTCCCTCTCCTGAAGTCGGGCGAAGCTCCGTCGGTCCCGGCGGACGACGAGGTGCGTCCACTGACCGCTCAGCTCGCTTATTGAAAGACTACCTCAAGCAGCGAACGACTGAAGGGATAAAAACTGTGGAGAGCTCCCTCTACAACCCGACTGGTAGCGGTACAAAAACACGATTAACCGTCTCAGAATGCCCTCTTGCTGTGGTAGAAAATCATCTCAGCGCAGCTCGCGCTTGATTGCTGATTTATGGCGCGTTTACATTGACTGATTATTTTGCTTTCTTAAAGGCTCGTCTCGGCGAGACCGTCCAGCAGTGACTTAAGCGATGAATTAGCCTCTGGCTAAACGTGAAATGGTTCGGGCTGTGTTTCTGGCGCGCAAACTAACAGAAAAGTAGCTAGCGTCGGGTACCTTTTTTGAACAAAAAATCGCATTGACTTTTTTCCTCCTCGTGGTCGATGATGCAGCTGTTAAACTAGCATGCCTCTTCCGATCAGTGGTATCTGGAAAATAGACACCTGTTAACGACTTTACTACTGTTACTTAAACAGTTTCGCATGTTTTGCCGAAAACTTGCATTTCTGTTCTTAATAGTATTAGAGTGATAGTAGTTCTAAAATTACAGTGTTTGCACGTTTAAATTACCTTTTTTATGTTTCCGTAACTTTGTCTTGGTTTTGTGTTTTAGTACTAAGAAGGAAGGTCGAGACAGGTCATTCATCGAAGGCAGAGAATTAGTGAGAGAGCAGGGTTGAGACATGAAGTTCTCATTTTTGGTGAAGGTAACCTTTCAGAAAGGCAGCAAGGTAGAACATTATACTATCTGTGTAGGACTAGTTTGCCTTGTTTCTAGGGTGAGTTTTTTGTGTGTGTGTGTGGGTTTTTTTTTTTTTGTTTGTGGGTCGAATTATCAGCAGCTGCAAGGACAACAAAATCTATGCTTTTGTATGCTCATTATTTCAGTAATTCTCCTTGATAATATATAAAATGTAAAAGCAGACCATGTTTAACAGACTTCCTGTTGAGAGAAGTGTAATTATGCTGTGTTGTACACAAGCCTTTGGTCATGTTTTTTGAGTGACATTTTTCTGGCTTACCCAAGGTATTATCCATGGAAGGGGGACCGACAGAAGCTGTGGTGGATGAGACAGGGGATGCTTTCAAAGCCAAGGAGTGTAAGACCTATCAGCGGCGGCGAGAGGATGAAGAGGTGGGTGCAGAGCTGCTGCAGGCCGCTGGTCTAGAAGCAGTAGAGCAGTCATCGGCTGAGGGTGAAGCAACAGCTGTGGTGGCCGATGCTCAGCAGCAATTGGTGGAGGGCGTGGTAAGCGTCAACAGCAGCGTGGAGATGATGGTGATGGACTCTCTTGACCCAGCCTTGCTCCAGATGAAGACTGAGGTCATGGAGGCTGGAGTGGGTGCCCCTGTGGGAGTGAGTGTAGCTGGGGCGGCACACGAGGCCACAGTTACAACCGTGGACGACACCCAGATCATCACCCTGCAGGTGGTAAACATGGAGGAGCAGCAGCTGGGCTTGGGTGAGCTACAGTTGGTGCAAGTGCCCGTCTCAGCTGTGCCAGTCACTGCTGCGACCGTGGAGGAACTGCAGGGCACTCTGGTGGATGCCACTGCAATGCCCAAAGATGGAGAACCAGTCATCTGCCACACCCTTCCACTTCCTGAGGGCTTTCAGGTTGGTCAGTAGTGACCTCCAGCATTTCTGAACCTAATGTCTGTCTACTACATCTGTAGTATGAGGTTGATGGGTATGAACAATTTCAAACAGTTGGGAAAAAAAATCACTTAAGTGAAGTCAGTGGGCAGTTGAACTCTGCAACAGCCCATTGGCCATTAGGTTGAAAAATGCTGACATAACTTCAAACTACTTTAAAAGGAATATATATATATATAATTTTTATTTTTTTTTTTGGTCTGGTTGTGCCCCTTAGTCTTAACAAGTTCTTGATGTGGCCTAGGTGGTGAAGGTGGGTGCTAATGGAGAAGTGGAGACAGTGGAGCAAGATGAGCTCCAGGCCCATGAGGAGCGTCCTCTGCAGCAGGAGGAAGAGGAGATGCCTGAGCCCCAGACTGACGATCCCACCTGGGCTAAGGATCCTGACTACACACCCCCTGTCAAGAAGCCCAAGAAGACGAAGAAAAGCAAGCTGCGCTACAACACAGAGGGCGAGAAAGACATGGATGTGTCAGTTTATGATTTTGAGGAGGAGCAGCAGGAGGGCCTGCTCTCTGAAGTCAATGCTGAAAAGGTGGTAGGCAACATGAAGCCTCCAAAACCAACAAAAATCAAGAAGAAGGGTATGACTGCTTTACGTTTTTTTTTGTTTTGTATTTTAAATTTGGAGATTTAGTCTGAAGAAAAAGCACAAATTTGGCCACAGATTCTTACTATGTTGTGTTTCTCTAGGTGTGAAGAAGACATTCCAGTGCGAGCTGTGTAGCTACACTTGCCCACGGCGCTCCAATCTTGATCGCCACATGAAGAGCCACACAGATGAGAGGCCCCACAAATGCCACCTGTGTGGCCGTGCCTTTAGGACAGTCACACTACTGAGGAACCACCTCAACACCCACACAGGTATCCTTTTGCTGCCATATGTATTTCAGCTTATGTTCTAAGACTAAATGTATTTAGAAACAGTGACTTCTAACTTGTTTTTGGACAGGCACCAGACCACACAAGTGCACTGATTGTGACATGGCCTTTGTGACCAGCGGTGAGCTGGTGCGACACCGTCGCTACAAGCACACCCACGAAAAGCCCTTCAAGTGCTCCATGTGTGACTATGCTAGTGTGGAGGTAGGTCATAATGCTGTCACTGTTATTGATATACTATGTCCTTTTTTTTTCTTTTTTTTCTTTTTTGAACAGTGACAATTTGCAGAGATCAAGAAATTTGCTAGATAGAATATGTGGAGTGCTCATGTTTTCTTATACTTTTATTAAAAAGGTGAGCAAACTGAAGAGGCACATTCGCTCTCACACCGGAGAGCGTCCTTTCCAGTGCAGCCTTTGCAGCTACGCCAGCAGAGACACCTACAAGCTGAAGAGGCACATGAGAACTCATTCAGGTCTGACATTACAGAACCTCTTAAGTATATAGAAGCATATAGTGTCAACAGCATTTTAGTGGCAATCGAGTGAGGTAGGTATTGCCTCTAACTTTCTTCCTTATTTTTACATGTTCAGGGGAGAAGCCCTATGAGTGCTACATCTGCCATGCTCGTTTCACGCAGAGTGGCACCATGAAGATGCATATCCTGCAGAAGCACACAGAGAATGTGGCCAAGTTCCACTGCCCCCACTGTGACACAGTCATCGCCCGTAAAAGTGACCTGGGTGAGTTCCTCCTATTGAATGAGTTAATTTAATGTTATTAAAACTCTGCTTTGCCAGGTTTTGGCTTTATATTTATGTCCAAGCTTATTTGTTTATCCTCACCATGTAGGTGTGCATTTGCGCAAGCAGCATTCCTACATCGAGCAGGGCAGGAAGTGCCGTTACTGTGAGGCCGTATTCCATGAGCGCTATGCTCTGATCCAGCACCAGAAGTCCCACAAGAATGAGAAGCGCTTCAAGTGTGACCAGTGTGACTACGCCTGCCGACAGGTCAGACAGCCCAAACGATGTTCTGTTAATAACTTCATTTTGGGTGTCTGGTTACATGTGACTACATCAACAAAGTTACCCACAATCAAAAACCTAACCAAACATAGTCTGTCCAACAACTTAAGTTGTTTCAGAGCTCGGTAAAATGATTTCACAATTGTTAATTTTTTTTTAAAGGGGAATTATGTTCCTTGATTTTTATTAATTTTTTTCTATCTGTACATTAGCTTTATAAACAACTTAAAAGTAACCCCCAATATGAAATGTTTAGTATGGTTGTTGACTATGTTATCAAACTGGCTAAATTACGTGATACCTATCCTTTAAGGAGCGACACATGGTAATGCACAAACGCACCCACACTGGGGAGAAGCCATATGCCTGCAGCCACTGTGAGAAGACATTCAGACAGAAGCAGCTCCTGGACATGCACTTCCGACGCTATCATGACCCCAACTTCGTGCCCACCTCCTTTGTGTGCACCAAGTGCGGCAAGACCTTCACTCGCAGGGTATGCATGAGACCTCACCACTTGAACGCTAAACATATTGTGATACTGAGACATCAGACTTCAGTGTAAACTTTTTTTTTTTCCTTTTAAATTATTATAGAACACCATGGCCAGGCATGCTGAAAACTGTTCTGGACTGGACACTGCAGAAGGAGAAAACGGCACTCCAACCAAGAGGGGCCGTGGTGGCCGGAAGAGGAAGATGCGCTCCAGGAAGGATGACGATGATGACAGTGGTAAGTGACTTGGCTGTGGATCTTGATGTGGGTCTTAGTTTTCAGCTTAAACAAATCTTATTTGTGTTGTCTTGGGTCAAGGGGCAACTTCTAATGTTTTTAACATAACCTGTTTACCTCATGATTGACAAATTACACAATCAAATTTTTGATGATTTCCAACTTTGTGTCTATCTTTTGTTGTGTGTGTCAGATGAGCATGGAGACCCTGATCTGGATGACATTGATGAGGAAGAGGAGGAGGAGGAGGGTCTTGAGGATGTGCAGATGGAGGTAGAGCAAGCCCCACCCAGTGTCCCCATCCCTGCTCCAGCTGAGCCACCAGTCAAGAGGAAGCGTGGTAGACCCCCCAAAAATCCCCCCAAGACTCCTCCTGCCAAGCCTGCAACCATAACACCTGCCGGTAAGTAATGTGTAGCTTTTATTTAATGGTGTCACAAAAGGTGGGTTGGAGGTGTTTGGTATGTTTTTGATCCCTTAAAGGTGCAGTGTGTAAGATGTGGGGTGATCTTTTAGCAAAAATGGAACACATTATACAAAATCATCTTGACATAAGTGTATAATCATCTGTAAATACAAATCATTGTTTTCGTTAGCTTAGAGTAAGCCCTTCATGTCAACAAAAGAGCAGGTCCTCTTTCTCTGCCATGTTTCTGTAGTAGCCCACAATGGACAAAATAAAGCACTGGCTGTAGAAAGTGCCTTTCATGTTCTTAGCTTGAAGCTCCAGCTTGAATTTGGTGGTGCTGTTGCACTGTTTGTTTGGGAGATGTGGAAAGAAGAATCAGTGGTTGCTGGTGATGCTGGCTAACCATTTTGTGTTGTTTTAGAACCTAAATTTTGGCAAATGGAAAATCATACTTAATTTTAACCCAGGAAAAAAAGGGATGGTAAATCCTTGTTAAAAGAAGTGAAAACATAAACCAAAACAAAAGTGGGGCAGGAAACAGCAGAAATCATGATGGCCACTGTAGGCTCTCCTGCACACTTGGAAAGGGAGGGGTGAGATGGGTTTTTAGTTGGTTACAATCTGCAGCCGCAGCACCAGATGCCACTAAATGTTAAACTGCACCTTTAAGCCCATCTGTTGATCATAACTTTGTATTTATGAGAGTAAAACATCAATGAACTCATTGGGTACAATTCTTTTGTATATTCACAAGTGTCCAACATAACACAAACACGAGTATAAAGTTTGTTACTTAGGTTTAGGAGGCTTGTATGTTAACTATACGGAGTATAGTTTTTAATTGTGTTGTAGTTACGGGAACTGTGAGTTTTTCCCACCCTACGTATTGTTTTGTTCCCCACAGCAGTGCTTTAAACATAGAAAAATTACTTGTAAAACGGATAATTGAGGTACTAAAATCTGATTGGCTGAGCTGCATTTGAAGCTGTTGTAAAATGCAGTATACACACACCTATGACTGCCTCACCGCCTGAACTCTGTAGTACTGCGTCAAGTCTCGACAAATCCTTGTGCTGTTAATGGAATAGTCTTTGACACTAATGCTGCTTGCATTGACCACAGAGTGTAGTGATGAAGTAAGAACCCAGTTTCTGTTGGAACTTTAAACTTGTTTAAACTTTTAATAACTTATTTTCTTAAATAGAATTAGGCTGGTAGATAGCTAACAGCATAAACAACTGTCATTAATGTCACAAGCTTAAAGTCTTTGGTATGATTCACTGTAAAGCAGCAGTATAAAAGTCTGAAGAATGTCACTTGGATGGCTTACATACTTTAAATGTTTGTCAGACGTCGTCAAACCCAGGCTGAATCCCAAATGCTTTACATACTTCCTAAATAGTGTGCTAGCTATGGAGGTTTCAGAATTCTTTTTCTTATTCATTTGTTGAGTATGGATATGGCTGAATCCCAAATGACTATTTTTAATAAGTTATTTTTAGCTATATTGTGCGCTGTAGGGGTGCAGGAGCCAGTATTGAAATTCCTACGTTGTGGACTATGTAGGGAGCCATTTGAGCATTAGTAGAGGGGCGCCGTTGGATGTTGGCACCTTTTATACATCCAATATACTGAAATAATTAGGCCTGTTATGGAATAGGTTAAATACGTTAATAACTGTTACAAGGCGAGGTATTCATGACTAGACAAGAGTGATGATAAATGATCATGATATACCACAGTGGCTTTTAGAAGTGCCCCACTATACCTGAAAACTCCCACTTTACTGAGCGTGATCAGCAAAAGTCATGTTTATTTTTCTTCTACAGCATACAAGTGACTTCCTCCTTTGAATTTTAAATTTTCGCTTATAGAGCATGCAGCAGTAAGCTGGTTTGTCCCACTTTTCGGGCCGAATTCACCTACATACTTTACACATTAGTTTGTTTGTAGTTACTAAGTAATTCTGCATAGTTGCTGGATAATAAGACTTAAAATAATCATTAAATTGCCTAGAGTTTCAGAACCTAATCCGGTCTCTGTCTCTGTGCAGCGACTGCCATAATCCAGGTGGAAGATGAGGGCACAGGGGCCATTGAGAACATCATAGTGAAGAAGGAGCAGGACGGCGTAGACTCGTCAGCGGCTGCTGTAGCATCAGGTCCTGTAGTGGAGGAGGTGGAGGCCGTAGAAGGTGGTGTGGAAACAGTGCAGCTATCTGTCCCTGAGGCTGCACCCAATGGAGACCTCACCCCTGAGATGATCCTCAGCATGATGGACCGGTGATGTGGAGAGACAAACCCACACACGCCCACCCACACATGCAGACATACATGTCCCTATTATGCGGTCACCTCCCCGCCTCACAGAAGACTGCTCCACTCCTTTCCATGGTGTCTTCATTAAGTTTGTCAACTTGAATTAAATTTCCATTTTTCCTTTCTGTTGCTTAAACTTCATTAATTTGTTTATTTAGACTGATCAAGCAGTGCATGGATTTTTTTTTTTCTCTCTTCTGTCCTCACTCACCCTTTTGGCTAAGTAGTCTATTTGTCCTGCATATAACATCTTGTGTGTGGCGGGGGTTGCAAAGATGATAATTATGGGGAGACTAAGGAGTTGGTTCCCTAGATTTATGGTAGTGAACAACATGCATTTTTTTTATTTCTTTTTTTGGTCCCCCTATCTGATATGCCAATATTCCTTCAACCTTTCAGTCTGTGACATTACCATGGCAATATTCAAAAGGAAAACTTTCTGTGCCTGGTCAAGCCTTGATATTTAGAATTGCTATCACTGCTGTAGAAATGGGCATTTTTACCCCATCTGTTCCACAAATATCCTTTTTAATGTCTGACATATACGACAACTTTTATCGCTGTTGTATTTCTCATTTGCTTTCATTGATCATAATTAACAATGGTAGAGAGAGAAGTTTAGAAATGTAGCCATATGATTATCTGGCCAGGGACGATGACATGCATCCATCAAGTATAAAAAATAATTAAAAAAAAAAATGCAGTTGATAACATTGTACAAAACAAAGTTAATCTTGGCTGGTCTTGCTTGTAAATAAATTTTTATTATCTGTTTTATGAGCGTTTTAATCTTTTTCTAGTGAAACGATGACCTTGAATGCTGGGGCAATGACATTTTAAATATTAGTCATTTGGAAACATGTCACCAATGGCTTTTAAATCTCCAAGGTGTGGGGAAGGGGGCATACCTAAAGATCACGTAGGCAAAAACACCCTCTCCCCACCACCACCACCTTCCCTTTTCTCTTTCCCCCCCCACCCCCCTCTTGTTTTGTCCAACAGCTTGAAATGCCGCCTGTTTTTGGGTGTTATCAGCGTGCTTTTTGGAAATAAAAGCTAGTCCTTCACAATCTGTCACTTAAGGTAATGAGAGAGTGGGTTTATAGGGTATCTCTGTAGAACGTGCTCCCATGTTGGTCTTGTGACTGTAAAAGGAGGAAAAGGGACAGGAACAGTGAACAGCTTGTAAGCTCACGCTACGTGAGCACCTAAACCTGTAGTTCGGTGCAGGCCAGGTTGCTGATGTGCATGAGTTTCAGTGATTCTGACCTTAAGCAATGAGAGGTTTTTTTTTTGCTGTTCACTGTAGTTTTCTCACCAGTTTTGTCCAGACCGTATACATTTCACACAGTTGGGGATTGTGGTCTGATGAAGCCATTTTGATGTTCTGCAAGGACTTTTGTTTGGTCAGACTGATATTTGTTTAGAAAAAAGGAAGTTTGTTTCATTTAGAAAAATGTCTTTGCTGAGGGTTTTTTTTCTGTTTCAGAATGACGTTTTCCTCCTATCTGTAATTGCAGTTAAATTGCTTTCCTTTTTGTTAAGCTCTTAATTTTAGGTTGATGGTTTTTTTTTTTTTTTTTTTTTTTTGTACTTAGCTGTAACTGTGTGAATTTTACAATGGTCAGAAAACCAACATTATAAAGACATATATTATGGCAGGGTGGGGCATTGAGGGCATATGAAAAGGTGGTGTGGAGAATGTATTGCTGTACAGCTAATAAAAAAAATATTGTCCTAATCCGTTGTCTTTTTTTCTTTTTTCTATTAAATTAATGCATCTATATACTATATTGAAATTAATACTTCACTGCTTTTTTTGCTTTGGCTTTCTGAAAATGATCAGGAACAGAATAGTCTAAACTGAACTTTAGGAATAGGAAACTATGCTTGATTCCCCAAAAAAGTTTACAAAAAACCATAAATTAATCCATTACTGGTAGACCTGCAACAGCAGGCTAGTGGTCTAGGGCTAAAAACAGGTCATTGTTTTCAATAGTCTTTCAAACCACGTCTTCGACTCCATGCCCAATCACTGGGATTCACACATAGCAGTGAACTGATCTAGCGTCTGTAAACGGGCTTTCTGGCCAAAAACTAGCATTAATGTTATGTAGTATTCGGTAATGACTTACTGTGCCCTTCAGCCTCATCGATTTTGACAAAATTCACAAGTTTTTGTTTTCATGTTTTCATCCCTCATTGCTCTCTCCCTACAATATCCAGCATGCATTATACAAATGTATCTCACAACTCCTTGGTCTCTACCAAGAACCTCTACTAGACCTGGGCAACTGGGTGCTATAGCCGAATAGCGTCGATGATTGACATGTAAAAGGTCATGTTTGCAAACTTACATTACTAGAGAGGACTAATTTACCTTGCTGAATGTGTTAGGAAATTAGGGTCTACATTCCTTTAAGTAAGGCATGTGGCCTTTTTTTTTTTATTTTTTTCCCCCCTCTGAGAGACGTTGGGTTGAGAAGCTGCCTGTTGCTTCTGCTACACACTGAAGCGAGCTTTACATACCCCATTGCTTATCACCTACTTGCTTCACGTTAGATTAAGCTTAAGTGCATGGAACAGAAAATAAACACTGACATGCATTGGAATTCCCCTTGCTGCATTGATTTGCTGCAGTGAAACGATCAATTAAAGGGTATATATCCTTAATTTTTGTTGTATTTTACTTTTACCCATGGTTCACTTACAATGTCTCGTTTCACATATTGAAAGTTTTTGTTTTTGTGCCTTAAAAACTGACATGGAGTGAACATTAGACAGAGACTGAATGAAAGGTCCTGTTAGACTCTTAGGGTAATGATAGCTTTTAGCCTGTGTGCCCACTAGCCCTGTCTGCGGTGCACCTCAATCAGTTGGTTGCATCATGCAGCAGCAGGGTCTCACATCCTTTTGCTTCAACAAAGCCGAGGCTCAACTGCTGCTACTGACAGTGTGAATGTAATGTTTACTAAACTCCAGCAAAGTCTGATGCTCAGAGATGTAAGCTTGAGTGTACGGGGCACGAGACATATGACTCAATAAACTCGGACGTGAAACATAATTTAGCACCATTTTTGCTGTGCCAGAAAAACGTATGTGGTCTTCCATGTAAAGACCACAGGTTTATCTACTTGTTATTCATTTCTATTTATTATTCAGTACTATTTTATGTGTACTTAAGTTGCTAAATATGGTACATACTTTATAATTATATAATAGTAAATACGAATTATATGCAATAAATAAAAATGGGTTAGTCTTAAGAGTAGGATATATACATAGAACTCTGCTTCTAAAATAGTTGGGATGCTGTGCAAAATGTAAATAACAGAATCCACTTACCTGCAAGGCATTTAAACCCTGTATTTAATTGACAATAGTACAAAGACAAGGTATCAAATATTAAAATTTGGATATGTTGAACATGTATAAAGTTACATATGTTGAAACTGAAATTTTGTCTTTTTTTTTTTGAAAAATGCTTGCCTGTTTTGAGTTTTATGCAAGCAGCATGTTTCAAAAAAGTTGGGACAGGGGCAACAAAAGACTGGTAAAGTGGTATAATGCTAAAAAGAACATCTGGTGGAACATCTCACAACTAACTGATTGATAATTAATTGGTGACAGGTCAGTAACATGATTGGGTATAAAAAGAGCATCCCACAGAGCCTGAGTTTTTCAGAAGTTAAGATGGGGAGAGGTTCACCACTCTGTCAAAGACTGTGGTCAAATAGTGCAACAATTCAAGAATAGCGTTTCTCAAAGTAAAATAGCAAAGAACTTGGAGATTTCATCATCTACGGTACATAATATCAATAAAAGATTCAGAAAATCTAGAGGAATCTCTACACAAGGGACAAGGCTGAAAATCAATATTGGCTTGCTATGATCTTTGGGTCCTCAGGTGGCACTGCATTAAAAACAGACAATTCTGTAGTGGAAATCACTGCATGGGCTCAGGAACACTTCTGAAAACCACTGTCTGTGAACAGTTCATTACTGCATCCACAACATTACTGCATGCAAGTTAAAACTCTACTGTGTAAAGTAAAAAACATATAAACAGGATTCAAAAACACTGCCACCTTTTCTGGGCTCATTTAAGATGGACTAAGGCAAAGTGTGTATCCTGTGGTCCGACGAATCAACATTTATTTTTGTAAATCATGGATCCCGCATCCTCCAGGCTAAAGAAGAATGGAACTATCCAGCATGTTCTTCAGCACACAGTTCAAAAGCCAGCATCCATGATAGTCTGGGGGGGTTAGTCATTGGTGCATGGCATGGGTGACTTGCCCATCTGTGAAGGCACTAATGCTGAATGACATATACAGGTTTTAGAGCAGTATATGCTGCCATCCAGATGACGTCTTTTTTCAGGGAAGGCTTTACTTATTCAGCAAGACGATGCCCAACCACATACTGCATAAATTACAACAACATGGCTAGTTGATGAGTCTGGGTGCTAAACTGGCCTGCCTGCAGTCCAGACCTGTCACCCACTGAAAACATTTGGCTCATTACAAAAGGAAAAATATGATAAAGGAGACCCCAAACTGTTGAGCAGCTGAAATCCCAGCTATATCACACAAGAACAGGAAAACACTTCACTTTCAAAACTACAATTAGCCTCCTCATTTCCCAAATGTTTGTTGTTAAACGAAAAGGTGATGCAACACAGTGGTAAATATGTCTCTGTCCCAACGTTTTAAAACGTGTTGCTGGCATAAAATTAAAAATAGGCATACATTTACAATTACTCAGTTTAAATAACTGACATGTTGCCTTTGTACTTTTTTAATTAAATATAGGGCTTAAATGATTTGCTCATGTTTGCATTCTGTTTTTATTTACATTTTGCACAGCATCCAAACTTTTTTGGAAACAAGGTTGTGCGTGCGTGTGTGTGTGTGGCAGCATATTCCGGACTATTTCCAAACTGAAATGAAAATTTGAAAGTGCTGATAAAATCGTGTATTTACTACTGCATGAGTGTGCATCATTTAAAGGGGAACTCCACCGATTTTGCAAAATTACTTAATCATTTAATTGTTTATATGTAAACAAAACCATTCAGAGTGGTTTGGTGTGAAATGCACCTTTCCAGAGAAATTCACCAAGTCTGAATTGTTCACTACGTCGTTATGTCTCCACTACAGATGTCACCCTTTTATCTGCTATCCAAAATGACCAGTGAACTTACATGTGTCTTGTACGTTTTTATGCGTCGCGCTGATAATAAAAATACTGCTGAATTCGAAAAAATACGTTTTATTTGGATACTATTTTTTCTTACAACGCCCTGCATGTACCTCTCGGCCCTGCACGCGTCTTGTGGTGTTGTGATTGGCGGCGTTGCGTCGCGCGGTGTCAACAAAACTCAGAGCGTATATGAGGAATGTTATTCATCAGAGGAGCTGTGATAGATCACAGCTGCATCTTCCTGGTTATTTGTTCATAATGGTGGTGAACTGTGCTGTACCAGGATGAAAAAATAAATGGAGAAAATACAGTACAGTGCGTTTTTTTCAGTTGCCGTTACAAGTACCACAAACCCTGAAGTTGTAGCTAACTGTGGTTAACGTTAATTGTTTTGAAGCTACACACAAATACCAACGTCTAACAACTTCACCACCGAAGACTAACGTTACTCAAGACCAGTGAAAAAATGCAAAGTGTGATTCTTCAAAAAACGGCTGTTCCCTCTGTT